AAAAAAAACACTTTAATTTTAAAGGGTCACAAACTGGGCACGCAGTCCTGTCTTACATTCAATTTTTTTCAAGCACTCACCTTTCACATTCACATTGTATTTTTATCAACAAAGCATGTTATGTTCAAAAAACAAAATGCACAATATAAGAAGTAAAAGGTAAAAACACAAAGGCTTGGATGGCAACATTCATATATACTGGCTTGCATGGCTCAGTGGTTAGAGCACCGGACTCTCAAGCAGGATGTATGTGAAAGTGTGTTAAAGTGTGTATGTATGTATATATATATGTGTGAATCAGTACATACTGACCAAACTGAAGGTATACAGAGCTGCAGTGCTTCCACTGCTACTGTATTTGTGTAAAACTTTGACTTTATACAGACGTCAGGCAAATGAATAAAAACCGCAACCACTTCCATAGTCTGAGAAAGATATTGAACATTAAGTGGCAAGACATGGTCCTGGACACTGCCGTATGGGACAGAACTCTCATTCCCAGCATTAATATCAGTTTGATGCAGTCACAGATTGGATGGGCTGGCCATATTGTTCGAACGCCTGACCTTCGGCTCCCAAAAATAATCTTCTATGGTGAGATACTTACTCATCATTTGTGATGGATGAACAACACACAGTATATACCAGTGTGTGGGTATATGTAAGTATATCTGAATGTATTGCATCAATGTATGTGTGTGTACATATGAGTATGAGTGACTGTTTACATAGAAGTCTGAGTATGTATATGTGTGCATATGTAAATGTGAGTGTGTGTGTGTCTATGTATGTGTATCAGTATTTTTGTATGAATTAATTTGTATGTGTGTGTATGCATGTGTGAATGAGTGTGTATCAGTATGAATGCATGTGTGTATGTATGCATGTGTGGCCATGACCATGGCGAGTATGACTATCAAGATCCACCACATTAAGAAAAGTCTTCCCCAATCAGAGCACAGGATTTCAGAACCTTCGTTGCCACAACATGTACTTTTCCTGTAGTCATTTTTTTCTTTATTCCCATTCCCTTCCTGATTTCCCCCTTCACACAATATGGCCCATGGCACCGCCCCCCCCCCCCCACGAATCTATCTCAATACTTGTAGCATTCATGTCCCACTTGAACACACCTGTTTTTCACCGTAGAGGATGACCTCTACTGATGACCTTATTGCACAGGTGACTGGACACCATTTGAAAACACAGAGACTCGCTTACAACCTCACAACATCCAGTATGAGCATAGAGGTGGAGACAGTAACGGAAGCTGTCTTATAGTTTGAGAGCAGCACATGACAGCTGTAGGTATACGGCACTAACATCTAATGTCTTCATGATGTCATGAAAAATCAGGCTTTTCAATCCAAAAAGCTGTGTCAGTTGTTTTTTGGTTTTGTTCCCGGCTGCACAAATCTAGCTTTGTGACTGCTTATAAACAGTGATTTCTTCTAGAAAGATAATATTTGTGCTGGTAGTCACTACACATTGTCTATTCCAGTGATTATGAAAACAATTTGCTGGTATTGTGTAGCAGCAGAAAAAAAGAAAGCACTGGCTATAAATGTTCTTAGGAATGTTTGTATATAAATAGAGCATAGAGTTCAAGCATCTAGCCTTTATGTGGTCAATATATTTTGTCCACAGTGTTGATCCCCACTATTGATAATATTGATATTTGGTGCTTTATTAATATGCTGCCCCAAACAGGGGAAATCCACAGGTCAAGGGACAGTCTAATATTTCAGGGGGTGGTAGATAGGCTCCATGCAGTCATGGGACCTAGGCTGCACTCTCTCGTGGGACGTAGGTGGGTTGGGGTTAGGGCCAGTTCTCGATGTTTTGGAGTCGTTAAAAGTATCAGAAAGCCGGGAAACCCAGTCTTACCACCCATTTAAAATGTTGAACTGTCCTGTGACATCGTCTGGGGTAGGATATCACGAAACAACCTGATATTATTCATGCTGCTGGAAGCTGTCCTCTCTCACAAGACATTACATTTAAATGCCTTCACTGGATTCTTCAGATGCACAGCTGATGTTCAGTCCCTTTACAGCTGTCTGAAACAATAATATAAATATTGTTTCAGTTACATTTCTGATTTAAAATAATTTTTAAATTATCAAAATATTACAGTCAGGCACTGGAAAATGAGGAATGGAGGTAAAGATGATATATCTGTCACAGCATTAAAATCTTGCTCTGGCGATCATACTACGCGCCTGGCTTTGGAAAATCACCTCATCCACAGCCTAGGCATTCTTAGTCCAGGTGTTATCAATATCCAACATACCTTCATCTAACAGTTTTATCACATTGATACCACCTGGACTATTTTTACTTTCTTCTTTCTCTTATCAGTATCATTTATGTATCATTAACATTTGTATTTCTTTTATTCCCACGATTATATTATATATTAACACTATTTTTGGCTATCCTCCGACTAACCGTCGGCAAAGATGGCGGCAGCAAAATATCCAGCTGAGCCGCGGTCACGGGTCATTGCGCGCTTCCGGCTACTTAATTTGCGGTCTTCCGGCGGTTTTCCGCCAACAACCGCTACCGCCATGTGGCCCCACGCTGCGTGGATTGGGGCTAAACTAGATGGCTAGGACTCACGAGCAGCAGCTTCCCCATCTCCTGCAGCTTTGCTCGTGAGTCCTAGCCATCTAGTTTAGCCCCAATCCACGCTGCGTGAGCGGCGTGGGTGCCACGTGGCAGTAGCCACTGTCGCCGGAAAAGCGCACATGAAGTAGCCGGAAGCACGCAATTGACCCGTGACCCCAAGTGCACAATGACACGTGACCGCGGCTCGGCTGGATATTTTGCCGCCGCCATCTTTGCCGACCGTTTGTTGGAGGATAGCCATATTTTTTATTTTTGTGTGACTATATCTTTTTAGCCATTGTTTATTTTATTTTATTCCTTCCACATCACACTTTTTTAAATGTTGCTCATGTCACCCCTAAGAGATCTGTATACCCTCCTCTCCTCGTTCTTACCTTTGTGTAGTTCACCTCATGTTTGACAAAGGCTGCCCGGCTGAAACCTTACATTATTTGTGTTGTTTTGTGCACGTTTTTCTGCTTCCCAATTTGGTTAAGATTTTTAGTCCTTGTATTAGCTTGAAAATGACCAGACTTGTGGCAGTTATGATCCGCTCAAAATTGGTGGCAACCCTATTCCGGAACTCCGCTACGCAGATGATACAGTCCTCCTTTCGAACAGCGTAAAGGGAATAGAAAATTTAATATTTTCTGTCCAAAAGCTAGTAAAGATCAAAATCTGTTCTTGAATTTAAAGAAAACAAAAATAATGTCCACAGATAAAAACTGGCCCTCAGCCAAAAATAACAATAAATGATGGAGAAATTGAAAATGTCACAAATTTTGAATATCTAGACATTATAATAAACAGCAATGGAGACTGGGCTATCCGTGGCCTATTACCCCCCTGCCTATATGCAAGAACATCATCAGCAAATGTTAATATCCTTCCAATACCTGGTGCTTCAAGTTCTTCAATCTTGCTTGTATATACATTGAAGAACACTGGTGAAATTGCAGAACCCTGGGGTAGTCCCTGGGCTATATCACATGGTTCTGAGGTCCACGTACCCAGGCGAAGAGCAACCATACTTGAATGTAGGACAGCTGCTATCCAAATCACAAGCCAAGGACAAAACCCCCTTCTCCATAAGTGCAGAAATCAAAATATCATATCTGACTGTTGTAGGCATCCTCAAGATTAAATGGTGCCACAAATGTCTTCTGTCTGTTCTGAAACCCTAATAAACAACAAAAGCAAAAGTAGTTGCATTTGACCAGGTATTTTTCCGTGAACGGAGCTCTTCTCTTTCCAAAAACATTTGTAGTTTAACAGCAATTTTCTTCTCTAGCGCCTTGCCAAGAGTATTTTGTAGAGTGAAAATCCTGAAATCTCTGAGTCTGAAATGACCTTTGCCTGGTTTTGGAAGTGGGTTGTTGTTGTTGTTGTTGTTGTTATCGATCCAGCGGCGCATGAGCTTTCGCCCTTTGGCCCAATGCCATGTAGTGGAATTTGCATGTTTTCACAAGCTGTTCTTTTCCTCCGTACAAGGTGTTCCACTTGTCTGGTCTCGGAGGGAGTAGCGTTCTTCTTGTCTCACTGAGTTTTGGGCACTCAAAGAGATGGTGTTCAACAGTTTCGTAGGGGTAGTAACATAGCTGGCACTCTGGGGAGTGTTGTGGCTGTATTCTGTTTAGGTGTCCATTGAGTGGAGTATGTTGCGTTCTAAGTCTGAAGATGGTGGCCTGGTCCCATCTTGTTAGATGGTTAATGCTGTCATTAGGATCAGGGCCAGACATATGTCTATAAACCTCTCTTCCAGTGTCTCCCATTTGGAAGTGGGATAATCCTGAGGTACCGAAGCTGTTTTGATGCTCTGGTTAAAGTGAATAAAAAGCCATCTCTCTCAAGTCCTCATCACTCATGCTCTTCAAATGGGCGTACCTGATGCCGTCTGGCCCCAGCGCAGTGTCTTTTGCTTTTTGCAATATATATTTTATATCCTCCACCCTAATGAAATCTTCAAAACGATTATCATTTATAGCAAAAACATAGTAAAGCAAGCAGAAATGTGACTATGCCAAACAGTGCTCAGCTGCAATGTTCTTTGAAGTCTGTGGTGCCAAGCATGACTTCCACTGTCCCGCACTGCTTGGTTTACATCATCAGAATACCAACCGACCAAACCTGGGATCTCCCTACTGCATGTAGAGAGCATATTTGTAGCACAAGTTCAATATTCTGTGGCGCCTGCCCACACGAGCAAAGTTACATGGGGATGAAAACTACTTTTCAAAAACTGAAGAAAAAAAACAAACCTTCCATCTTATTAATGCATCTCTGTGTATTCTGGCCTTGGATTTGGAACAGGTCTGGATGACAACCAAGACATTTTCCACCAGAGGAGATAGCCCCTTGTCAGCAGGATCAGAAGCACTGGTGAAACTCACAGAGTATTCTTGCTGAATTTGTAATAGTCTTTTCTTTGTCATGCCCCACTCCAGCATGACGATAATTTTTGCCCACTGCACAAAGGAAACTGATAACTTGTAACACCTGGTACTATTTTAAGAAAGCTGATATGATTTATATACAGTGACACCTCTTCTTCATCTTCATGTTCACCGCTTGTAAACTCAAGCAGAAAGTTCTGGTTGTTGTACACTTCTGGACTTAAGTCTCATTTCAGAACTTGAGTTTGACAGATCTGGCTTGCTTGTATGCAAACTGTCGGTTCCTTGCCTCTCAGGCTGATGCAGACTGTTGGTTCCTCGCCCCCTCCCCTAATTAGTCACCTTTTATATATTACTTGTGAGCAGGTGCGGGGGGGGGGGGGGGGGGGGGACTTTTCTCCCCCATCCCTCCCAAATGGGGTCTGAACCCAAACTTGGAAACTTCCTTCTATTCCACGAAGTTTAGCTTTGAAGCACTAAATGTTTAGGTGGAAAGGAGTTCAACAGAAACACCATGAGACAAAAGATAAGCTAATAATTCCAAAAAGAAAGGGTTATTAATAGGATTGTCTGTAAAAAAAAAAAAAGGCATCAAGAATATTAAACTATCTTTGGAAACACAGAGAATGTGTGGGAGTTGTTTGGTTCTGAAGGAGTTAGAACTTTGGAGACACAGCAAACAAGAAAACACAGTAAAAGTAATTGAAAAAAACAAACAAACACAGAAATAAAGGGACGTTGCAACGCACTGGGGCCTATTGGGCATATATTGATTGTCCCATTTTTTCTATAGACTGATCAGCAGTATTTGAACAGGCTAAGTTTAACATGTAGAAGATATGAAAATTAATACAACCAAAACTGAAGTAATGCAGGTCAGAAGAATTCCTAGTCAACTTTAATTGCCTGAAGCAAGTTAAAGAATTTAAATATCTAGGAAGTTTATTATCATAGGATGGAAGAATAGATCGGGAAATAGAAACAAGATGCCAACAAGCCAGTGCATTTATTTGCCAACTGACACTGTTATTAAGACATCCAAACATAAGTATGAGCGCCAAGAAACAAATTATAAACAGCATATTCATACCAACACTGTGCTACCAGTGCCAGACTTGGAAATTATCAAAGACTAACCTACGTAAAATTAACACCTGTTAAATGATATGCCTGAGAAAAGCTGCCAACTTAACCCTACAAGACCTGAGGCCCTGAACCTAACTGTCCCTACAACCTGAGCTCCTGGGCGCTAACATGAAAAAACCAACATGATGTACAAAAGAATTAGTTACATGCAAACAAGTGTTTAGAATAAGATAAAACTTGGAGACATTGTAGAAAATAGGTTTACCTTTCATCTAGCTCCAATCTTCCACCTTTGTGTGCCAATCCACCTAGTAGGATCAGTCTTGTTTCACAAAGTAAGCACCAGATATTGCTGTTTGAGGGACACGCCCCCTTCTCTTATCGATCTAGTTTTAAATCTATAATTTTCATAATTCTCCTCCTCACTCTAGCTCTCACTGACTGTGTCACTTCAACTCGGAACGTATTCTTCATGAACGTATTCACAGTCTGAATTAACCAAAGTATCGATCACCTGTTGCACTGTGAAAAACCTAGACCTATGTAACTTTCTTGTCGAAGCCGCTCGTTTCATTGAGAATTTTCCGAATTTTTTCACATCAGATCACACAAAGAAATCTCAACACACGTGGGAAGTCTTCGCAATGACTAACCACGAAGTTGGATAGCGATTGGCTGGTTATTTTTAGTCTGTGACACATATTTTTCACATACTACGTAAATTCCTGGAAAATTGGGCCAGCAGTATAGCGGCTGGTTAGGAAATTCCCGGAAAATCTGGCCACCGGTCCGGTAGGGTTAACCATCCGAGACAAAGTTAGACATGATATTATCACACAGACCGTAGGAACAACACCGTGCAGCAAATTCAATGAGAAACAGAAGATCAAATGATTTGGTCATTTAGTAAGAATGCAGCCAGAACAACTGCCAATGAAGTGGAAATGTCCACTGGACTTTACAGCTGCTACATTTGAAGAGAAAGAAGAACTCCACCTTAGTGGGGTTTTTAATCTAGGACCATAATGCCAGCAGGCAAGCATGACATCCACGGCAATTCCATGGCTCAAACATGAAAATAGAATAAATTAAAGTACCCTTTTCATGCCAGTTGAATAACTGTGCATACGATGCTATATTTTAAGAGACCAATTAGCACTTGGTGGGTGATGTTGTCAATCAGCCGCCTTTGCTTCCCAGGTCTTTCAGTACCATAAGGTTTAATGGGAGATGTGTGATGTGAAGAACAAACCATGATGAAAAATGGTGGATTATTAATCACAATTTTTGTGGCAATATATACAGCTGTAGTGACCATTTGGGGTTGCCAGATTTCGTTATTGTATTCTGCCCAAATATACAAAAATAAGACAGCACACTGTACTATGGAATGAAATAAAAGGGTAAAGTCCAGGCATTACTTGAAAATAAAAGAGTTAGCTGGAACCCATTTAGGTTGGACTGACCTCGTAACCAAGGTCCTTTCTGGCAAAAGTCAACTCAATGTGCATTCCAACCCAAGAAAACAAACAAAGGAAATTAAAATGTCCCTAACCTGTTTCCACCATTCCTTGGTGGACTTGGAGATGACCTGTGTGTAAGTGTTGCCCATCATGGCAATCAGCATGTTCAGCAGCAGGATGGGTACCAGTATCATAAACAGGGCAAAGATCAGCTTTGTTAGTGGCGGATAGTTGGACATACTGAACACTTCGTACTGCAGATATAGAGAAAAGAAAAGGTTACAACCGTTTTTTTTTAAATCATACCATAGGTACAAAGAAAAACAGGTAACAACTGATACTTTGTCATAATGCTGGTACAAAGGTTTTAACTCTCTTAGTCCCAGTGGGTTTAGCATCACAGGCCCAAGGGGTAGTAAAGAAAGACATAAAATTAGCACAACATGCGTCAATTGGGCTTTTTGGTAGGAACTTGTGAACGTATGATGCGTTCCTTGGGACTAAAAGAGTTAACTGGTACTTTATCACATTGCAGGTACAAAGGTTAAAATGTGTTCTTTATTGCACTGCAGATTTAAAAGTTTTAATTAGTAGTTTATCTCACTGCTGGGACAAAGGTTACAATGGGTACTTTATCACACAGCAGGTATACAATTCTCAATCGGTACTTCAGCACATGCCTGGTACACAGGTTATAAATGGTACTTTATCATGTTGCAGGCATAAAAAACATTTAAGTTAGTACTTATTAAACAGCAGGTACAGTAGTAAAACTTGTACTTTATCACAGTGCAGGTACAAAGAAAGAATTACAGCTGGTACTTTATTTAACTGCACGTACAATGGTTAAAGAGGCTACTTTATCTCACTGCATGTACAATGGTTACAATTGCTACTTTATCTCACTGCATGTACAATGGTTACAGTTGTTACTTTATCTCACTGCATGTATAATGGTTGCAATTGCTACTTTATCTCACTGCATGTACAATGGTTACAGTTGCTACTTTTTCTCATTGCATGTACAATGGTTACTGTTGCTACTTTATCTCACTGAATGTACAATGGTTGCAATTGCTACTTTATCTCACTGCATGTACAATGGTTACAATTGCTACTTTATCTCACTGCATGTAAAATAGTTACAAATGGTACTTTATCTCACTGAATGTAAAATAGTTACAACTGGTACTTTTATCACACTGAATGTACAATAGTTACAACTGATACTTTATCACACTGAATGTACAATAGTTACAACTGATACTTTATCACACTGAATGTACATTAGTTACAACTGGTACTATATTACACTAAATGTACAATGGCTACAACTAATACTTTATCACACTGAATGTACAATAGTTACAACTGATACTATATCACACTGAATGTACAGTAGTAACAACTGGTACTTTATCACACTGAATGTACATTAGTTACAACTGGTACTTTATCACAATGAATGTACAATAGTTACAACTGGTACTTTATCACAATAAATGTACATTAGTTACAACTGGTACTTTATCACACTGAATGTACATTAGTTACAACTGGTACTTTATCACAATGAATGTACAATAGTTACAACTGGTACTTTATCACAACAAATGTACATTAGTTACAACTGGTACTTTATCACACTGAATGTACAATAGTTACAACTAGTACTTTATCACACTGAATGTACATTAGTTACAACTGGTACTTTATCACAACGAATGTACAACTGTCACAACTGATACTTTACCACACTGAATGTACAATAGTTACAACTGGTACTTTATCTCACTGAATGTACATTAGTTACAACTGGTACTTTATCACACTGAATGTACATTAGTTACAACTGGTACTTTATCACAACGAATGTACAATTGTCACAACTGATACTTTACCACACTGAATGTACAATAGTTACAGTTGCTACTTTAGACTTCCTTGCCTTCAGTACTGTTCTTACTAAAACCAAATACACTGTACAATGTGACTAAATGAAGTCAGCTTCCAAGCAGTGATGCAGCAAGATCAAGTCATACTGTGTGCTGAAAATGTCATTCCCCCATATATATATATATATTATATATATATATATATATATATATATATATATATATATATATATATATCTGTGTGTGTATGGGTGGGTGTGTGTGTGTGTGTATGGGTGTGTGCACGTGGTTTTATTCTGTATTTTAGTGATGACGCTGGGGCTGCCCGCACCTCCCTTCCTATGCCACTGCTTCTATAATATGACTGACTGACTCCATTCCACTTCACACCACCCCACACACACTTCACACCCCACCACACACACCACACACACACACACACACCACACACAGACCCCATAAACAAGAGAAACACAACAAGGACAACAAGAGCAGCAGTACAACACTGAACCTTTACCCTGAACTCTCCTAAGGTCATTTCAAACATTTTAAGTATTGTGTCTTGCACGTTGGAAAATTTGGCCAAATCAGGGTCAGCAGTTTTTGAGGACACACTTTGAAACAGGAAGAAGAAGCCTTGAAAGGAGGTATACAGACAAACAGATTACCACTTGCTCGGCTGAATAAATAGCATCAACCGTAATGTAGTAAAGACACAGCCTATTTTGCGTTATAGGCGGATTACACGCATGGTGCTTGCTCCTTCTCTTTTCAGACAAATCAACACTAAGTAAGTGATGTAGCTGACCCAATACCAGCCATTTTTACTTCCTATGACAATTCCTGGTATTCATTTCATGCTGGGTGGACTGCAATCCAGGGTAATAGTTGCCGTTTTTTTAAATAGCTTTAAAACGTGCATCTTCCTTAGTGACAAGGAACAATCAACTGCACACAAATAAGTCAGTAAAGCGGATGCACACGGAAAACGCAGGCCCAGACACAAAGCCTAAGTCCAAATGGACGAACAATCAGGACGTTCCACAGGAGCTTACAGCTAGTGTTTACTACACCAATGAGGATGCAAGAGGTAATTATATCCTAGGATCTAGGATTTGTTAGGACAAAGATAAGGAGGGTATGAATGAAGCAAACAATAACACAATCTTCTGCTGCCGCAGATGCTTCTGCTTCTTCTGTTTCTCTTTCTCCTCCTCCTCCTGCTGTTGCTGCTGCTGCTGCGGCTGCTGCTTCTTTTTCTCCTTCTCCTTCTTCTTCTTGTTTTTCTTCTTGTTCTTGTCCTTCATCTTGTTCTTGTTCTTATCCTTCTTCTTCTTTTTCTTCCTCTTCTTCTTCTCCTCTAATATACTATATCAATTTACCATTTAGAACACAATAATAATATTACTGCACAAACTCAAAACTAGATTTGAGCACCTTGAGCATTTCTACCCCATACATTTATTTTTTTCTTGGTGGTGGCAAGCCTGCAAAAATAATCAAAAAAAGGTTAATGGATCTTAGACATTGTCCTCTGGTCTATGAATACAGGTGTTTCAGAAATCCCTGGAGTTGTTTCTGGAGGTGTCTAATGTGCTGGGCTGTGTGTGACCTTCTTGGCAGGAAAACATATGCTCTGCTGAGGGAGACTGAGCCTAATGAATGAAAACCCAGTGCAGTTAAGTTGCCTTCCTCTTTCTTCTGCCCTATAAAGGCTGGATGGCATGTTGTGTGTTGTGGTTTGGTTACATCTGCAATATTTGTACCTTTACAAAACACATTGGTCACGATTTACAACATGATTGTTAAGAGTAAGAGGCAGTGAGTTTTCCATTCTGTATACACCCAAAATTAGGCTTTGGATTCCCACATATGAGAAAGCACTTTTTAAAACCACTAAATAATTATCTGTTGAACCATAGTAGTAGTAGTAATACATTTTACCCCACTAGGACATCACACAAGTGAAAAACACCCAATGACAAAGTGCCACCATGTGGATAAGGATCACCCGTGGATGGAGAGGTCCCAGAAACCGCGTTCAGCCATTAGATCATATTTATCTCTTCTTCTTCTTCTGCCTTTCTATCCCCCAATGGAGCATAGGCCCTCAACCAACTCACGCCAAGTCGTTCTATCCTTCGCCATTGCATGGAGCTCTTCCCATGTCCTCCCCATCTTTGTAACTTCATTCTCCAGCTCTCTTCTCCATGTGTTTTTTGGCCTTCCTTAATTCATATGCCCCTGTGGGTTCCAATGCAAAGACATTCTAGTTATGCTGTTCTCCTTTTTTCTCAGTGTGTGTCCTATCCAACGCCAGCGTCTTTTCCTCACCTATTGGTCCACTGAAGCATGTTTAGTTCTCTCCCAAAGTTCCACATTAGTTATCCTATCATACCATTTAATTCCCTCTATTCTGCGCAGGCTTTTTTTAATGAATGTTTGTAACTTATTATTAATTGTCTTAGTTGTTGTCCATATTTCCGCCCCATACAATAGTACTGATTTGACATTAGAATTAAAAATATTTAGTTTAGTATTTCTTTTAATTTCTTTTGACCTCCACAAATTCCCTAGTGCTATGAAAGCCCCTCTTGCATTTTATATTCTTATTTTAATATCTCTATCAGTTCCTCCATCTTTATCTACATTACTGCCCAAATAGGTGTACGACTCATTGTAAAGTTGTGAGTTCCAGCTTTGCTCTATAACTGACAGCAACATGATTTCTCTATAGTTTTAACACTCCTATAGATCACCTTTTTTGGGCAGTTTCACAAGATATCCTTCTCTCCAGTCTGCTGGTATTTCTTTGGTCTCCCAGACTTTACTGAATAATCTATGTAGCCATTCTGTTGATGTGAGATCATATTTATGGCCGGGCTATATTGCGGCCGCTGGCAAGAGCCAGGATGTGGCTTCGAAATAATGAAAAACTGCATCCCACAAGGGGATGACAAAGATCCCATTTCTCTAGATTTTGTCTATACTATAAATCACAAACCCTTTCTGTATTTTGTGTGTTTATTATGAAAGAAGTGTTAACTCCTTCCAGACTGTAACCAATACATGGGTAAAATTTTAATGCTCCATTAGGACTGCAATGTTTAATTTTAACAGTCACATTGTTGGCCCAGGTTATTGTGCCTTTCTTTAGTTAATCAGTAAAAGAAAACTTTTGCTGGGTTATCTATCTATCTATCTATTGTCTTCTTCACTTTTAACGGGTTGCAGCCAAGTGTCGTGGTTTAAAATATTTGTTTTGTGCCTCTCGCGTGATTTGAGTGACAGTTTTCTGGATCTTCTGGCCGTATTCAGCTACTCCATCTATCCATTTTTTTCCTGGATCTTCCTCTGGCCTTTCTTCCCGATGTTCTACTGTAAAAGGCCTTATAGGCAATCTGATCCGACTGCATTCTTACTAAATGGCCAAACCACTTCATTCTCTGTCTTTCAATATGTTCCATGCATGCTCTTGTTCCAACTTTGTCTCTAATGCTGACGTCTGTGACTCTGTCTCTTCGTGTATTGTTGGTGACTCTTCGGAGACATCGCATTTCATACGTAGTTATTTTTTGCATATGTGATTTGTTCATTGTCCACGTTTGGCACTGATAACATAACGTAGGGATGAAAATGCTGTTGATCATCCCTTGTTTGGCTGGTAACGAGATTTTTGGATGACGAAGAAGTGGGGCCAGTTGGTAGTTGACTGCATTGGCTTTTTGAACTCTAGCCTGTATCTCTTTATCGAGTCTTCCATCTTCTGTAAATATGCATCCTAAGTACTTGAATTCTTGAACTTGTTCTAATTGTATGTCATTGATCTTTATGTTTACATTATTGTGTTTCTTTCCTATGGTCATTACTTCAGTTTTTGAGGTGTTTATTTTCATGTCAAATTTTGTACAGTTAGTGAGCAATGAATCAACATGTTGTTGTAGTTTTTGTTCTTCTTCTTGTAATAAACATTGGTCATCTGCAAAGAGTAGTTCATTTATAATTTCTGTGTTTTGGTTTGACTCCTGTGCAATTTTATCCACATATGTGATGAAGAGTAAGGGTGATAGGACACATCCTTGTCGTACTCCTGATGTAATGGGGAACCAGTCTGTCATACCTTCCATTGTTCTTACAGCGCTCTGGCTATTTTGATAGAGAGCCATTATGTTTCCCAATAATTGACCCGGTACACCATATTCTTCAAGAATGTTCCATAGTTTGCTGGGTTATATCCCTGTTAATATTTCTTTCCTATTATTTCACTTGAATGGGTAATTTAAAAAAATTATATTTTGCTGTTATCTTCCCTGAAACCACATATCTATATGATTTCTGAGACAAAACATTTGTCTGTCGCCCAAATTGTTAAAAACTGGTGTTAATATTACAGGGGATGCCTCAGGTGCACTTAGGGGCAGCAACTAAAGATACAGCAGTGTTGGAGACAAAGAGGAAGTTGAAGTCGCGATATTAAATAGGTTTTAGTTAGATCCCTATTTTCACTAGGCCTACATATAGGGCAACGATGGAAACCAAGATGAGGTAAGGGACGGGAGCATACGACTTTCTTTCAATTAAATATAGTCTTGTAATAAAATGAATTAGATAATGAACTGGTGCCTGTGCAGAATAGAGGGAATTAAATGGTATGATAGAATAACTAATATAGAGCTTTGGGAGAGAACTAAACAGGCTGGCATTTGGATAGAACACACTGAGAAAACAGGAGAACAGCATAACTAGAATGTTTTTGCATTGGAACCCACACGGGCATATGAATTAAGGAAGGCCAAAAAACACATGGAGAAAAAAGCTGGAGAATGAAGTTAGAAAGATGGGGAGGGCATGGGGAGAGCTCCATGTAATGGCGAAGGATAGAACGACTTGGCATGAGTTAGTTGAGGGTCTATGCTCCATTGGGGGATAGAAAAGGCAGAAGAAGAAGAAGAAGAATAAAATGAAGACTTCGAAATGCACCTACCTTGCGTAAACCCGGAAAGGAAAATTATGTAGATGATACCAAAACAGAAGAGGTCTCCAGTGATCATCTTATATATGATTGTGACAAAGGGGCCTGTCAGTCTATAGCCCCTGAAAAATAGTTACATACAAAGATTTAAACATGCATCTTCTGTGTATGGATTCCAGGGGATTTGGGGGGGGGGGAGGGGGTGGGAGAGAACTGCCTCCTAACTAGCCTCCTAACAAGGATGTCGTAAAAGGCAACTATATGGGAGGGGGGGGGGGGGGAGAGAACTGCCTCCTAACTAGCCTCCTAACAAGGATGTCGTAAAAGGCAACTATATGGGGGGGGGGGAGGGGGGGGGGGAGAAACTGCCTCCTAACTAGCCTCCTAACAAGGATGTCGTAAAAGGCAACTATATGGGGGGGGGGGGGGGGAGAACTGCCTCCTAACTAGCCTCCTAACAAGGATGTCGTAAAAGGCAACTATATGGGGGGGTGGGGGAGAGAGAGAACTGCCTCCTAACTAGCCTCCTAACAAGGATGTCGTAAAAGGCAACTATATGGGGGGAGGGGGGGGGGGGGGAGAACTGCCTCCTAACTAGCCTCCTAACAAGGATGTCGTAAAAGGCAACTATATGGGGGGAAGGGGGGGGGGGGGGGAGAGAACTGCCTCCTAACTAGCCTCCTAACAAGGATGTCGTAAAAGGCAACTATATGGGGGGGGGGGGGGGGGAGAGAGAGAGAACTGCCTCCTAACTAGCCTCCTAACAAGGATGTCGTAAAAGGCAACTATATGGGGGGGGGGGGGGGGGGGAGAGAGAGAACTGCCTCCTAACTAGCCTCCTAACAAGGATGTCGTAAAAGGCAACTATATGGGAGGGGGGGGGGGGGGGAGAGAGAGAACTGCCTCCTAACTAGCCTCCTAACAAGGATGTCGTAAAAGGCAACTATATGGGGGGGGGGGGGGGGGGAGAGAGAGAACTGCCTCCTAACTAGCCTCCTAACAAGGATGTCGTAAAAGGCAACTATATGGGGGGGGGGAGAGAGAACTGCCTCCTAACTAGCCTCCTAACAAGGATGTCGTAAAAGGCAACTATATGGGAGGGGGGGGGGGGGGGGGAGAGAACTGCCTCCTAACTAGCCTCCTAACAAGGATGTCGTAAAAGGCAACTATATGGGGGGGGGGGGGGGGAGAACTGCCTCCTAACTAGCCTCCTAACAAGGATGTCGTAAAAGGCAACTATATGGGGGGGGGGGGGGGGGGGAGAACTGCCTCCTAACTAGCCTCCTAACAAGGATGTCGTAAAAGGCAACTATATGGGGGGTGGGGGAGAGAGAGAACTGCCTCCTAACTAGCCTCCTAACAAGGATGTCGTAAAAGGCAACTATATGGGGGGAGGGGGGGGAGAACTGCCTCCTAACTAGCCTCCTAACAAGGATGTCGTAAAAGGCAACTATATGGGAGTTTGCCGAAATCAGGTGTGTTGGGCCGAAAAGTGCAGCCGGGCTAAAACCATAATGCAGTTTGTCAAAAACCTTTTTAAGGGTGACTGCAGGGCGAGGAGGATCTTTTAATCTTTTCTGAGACAACACATAGATATGAGTCATCAGCATTTCACAACTGCCACAGAAGAAAACTGTCTATGTACTAAGAACGTCAGTGGAAAAAATTTACTATAAAAAAAAATTCATTTCTACTGAAAGGAACATAATTTTGTCACAAATTTGACAGTCAAAATCTTTTTAATTTTATAAGTGAAATGTTCAAACTGGCAGCAAAAGAATAACTTAGGGCTCAACAAATCAATTGACAGTTATTCTGTATCTGGATCACACATAGTTTTTAGGCATATGGGCTTTCCGGGCCGATTAATAAAATTTGCCATCAGATAACCAGGCATTTCCTTGTTTGATCAGTATATATATTTACTCACAGCAGAGATGTGGTTTCTGAAAAGAATGCGAAAAATATCATGGAAGGACAGAAAAACAAACAAAGCAGTCCTCATCAAGACAGATGAAAGTCATAAACTTAGCAGAACATTTAAAGGAGACAGTCAATATTTTTTGGACATGTTTTGAGAAGGAATGTACTTGAGAACTTGGTTAAAAAATGGCAAGATTGATGAAAGGAGAGCAGGAGGAAGGCAAACAGATAAATACTTGGCTGGCCCAGCCAAAAAGATGAAGCTAGACAAAAACATTGAACTGATCTTTTAGTCTGGTGATTGTGTGAGAAGCTTATCTGCATGGAACATGATGATGGTGAGAATATCCTAACATCAATTTGATGTACAATATGTTTCTACTGCACACTGGCTGTAGTTGTAAGGTCTGTATTATTATGGCATTTATAGAAAATTAAACATTTGGTCCTGTTCACGTTTCCAGGCTCAGAATTAGAATAACTTCACTTGCCATTCATGCCTCCTTAGGTTGCTAGACCTCTCCTATGTTGCAGGGGTGTTATGATATGGCTTGATTTGGCAATCTATCTGCATATGTAATGTTAACTGGAGGTTGTGTTGTTGTTGTGAGTCTTTTTCAGGCACCGCAGGTATCTGTGTACTAGTAAGAAGTACAGCAGGGGGAAGCAACGATTCTTGGCTATCGAAGCTGGTATATTTTTGTATTTCTATGTTCGCTGGCTGTGGCTTCCCCCCAAGAGAAAGAAAGCAGTTTAAAGGAGCGTAAGAATAAAAAAAACATTGCTGTTTCCACACTCCCAAACCGCGGAGCAGGTAGAAGAACATGAAAATAATCACGCAAAGTGAGTGGTGAGAAGATGAGAAAAGAGGCAATGGTTTAACCGTTCACAATAAGGAAAATATTACTCCCCTGCAACATAGGAGAGGTCCAATATATAAGGAGGCATGAATGACAAGGGAAGTTACTCTAATCCTGGGCCTGGAAATGTGAACAGCGCCAACAATTTTTATTACTGCTCCTATTTGCTAAAATCTCTGTTACTCAGAGTTAAATATCTCCCCGAAAAATTACTTCCAGTCCAATATAGCTGATGGGCATACTGACTTTTTTTAGTCTTGGCAAGTTATTTGCCTCTGGCAATTGGTTAGCTGTTGCATTTTACCTCCATATATGGACTCAAAATATATAAATCCATCACCCAGATACTGAATTGACACGACACTGTGACTTGTGAATTTCATTTTTGATGCTTTTAAATTGTGCCCAGTGTGATTTGTGTTGTGAATTGCAGATGCCTTATGCATGTGTTACTGCTAATTTGCTTCCATCAACAATGAAGTGCAGTGCCAGTAGCTGAATACTTGTGTTGATACTTCTAATACCTACTTTATGCATTTAATACATGCATATGCTGTTAATTTGCCAAACCTGAAGTCTCTACATTTTCTACAAGGGATAGCACTGGGCATTCTGTGCACAGGAAAAGAGCAACTCTGCAGTGCCATGAATCGGAACTGCAACTTTCTAATCTAATTTCAATACTGAATGTTTTTCACACATTCAGGCATATTGGGCATACAGTAAAAGGAAAGGACCCTTTTCCATGCTTTCGGTGTACTGGGCACATAGGGCCAGACCTATATTTTATTAATCTATCGGCACTCGGTGGGTGATGTGGTCAACATTCCACCAGCTATGGTTACCTTCTAGGACTTCACCATCTTCTTCTTCTTCTTCTTCTTCTGCCTTTCTATCCCCCAATGGAGCACAGGCCCTCAACCAACTCGCGCTAAGTCGTTCTATCCTTCGCCATTACATGGAGCTCTCCCCATGTCCTCACCATCTTTCTAACTTCATTCTCCAGCTCTCTTCTCCATGTGCTTTTTGGCCTTCCTTTTATTCATATTCCATTGTGGGTTCCAATGCAAAGACATACTAGTTATGCTGTTCAGGATTCACCTAGTACCCATTTAAGGCTAGGTCAACCTGGATGCCGTCATTTTCACCATGACAAAATGGTGGCTCTGACTAATTTGAACACAAAACTATAAATACAAAAGTTACCTGGCAAAAAAGAGGAAGATAGACCACCCACTTGGTGCAGAAAATATAAGTAGAATGTCCTCAATGTCGTACTGTCCTGTGTAGCGAAATGGAATACATGCTAGAGTGAGCAAGCAGGAAATTATATACAATGTATGGGCTGGAGAATGAGCCTGTTGAGGGAAAGAAATCAAACACAAAGTAGTTAGTTATGCAAATACAGCAGTGTGGTTCATGTGGTAGAGCAATCACAGTGTTGAGATCCAGGGGCTGATTACACCACTAGGCATCTTGCTGGTTGTGGGCTGATATATCGAGGCATGTTGTATAGATTAATTATTTATTCTTTGACATATATGGACAAAAATTGAGACAAAGAACAAGGAGGAGGTGACGTAGCAAGAGCAGAAAACTGAGAAAGAAAAGAGTATGAAGACTAAGATGAAGGAAGAGGAGAAGAAAGAAAAGACGGCGAAGGAGGAAAAGGGGCAGTAGAAGGAAGAAAATGGAGAAGGGAAAAAATGGAGAAGTGAGAAAGTGGAAGAGAAGGAGGAAAATGCAGGAGGAGGAATAAGAAAAGACAGTTGAGGAGGAAAAGGAGAAGAATAAGAATGAGCCAGAAAAGTAAGAGAATGAGGAGAGAAAGAAAAGGATCAGGATGATTAGACAAAGAAGGAGAAGATGAAGAATTGGAAGAAGAAATTGCTGAGAAACAATGCTATCTGCGAGCCAATATCTCTCTGTGTTCAGATGCTGAAGAATACCAGTATTCTTTCACTTATTGGTCCATGGAATGCTAAAAATTTACACTTCAGTTCAAAAGCTCTAATTTTCTCAGTGACTGTAAAATAGTGCATGATTCACATTTATAGGCTGCCTCAGAAAACATGCTTGTTCTCATATTTTTTAAACAAACTAAATACACGTGTTTTAGTATATTCTTAGCCAAATATAAAATGCACAAGCATATGCTTTACACAAAAAGAGTGTTAAAGTGCTGACAAAATCAGTGTTGGTATATTCAGTGAGGCACGGACAGTAGCTAACAAAACCAGTGTTGGTATATTCAGTGAGGCATGGACAGTAAGTATGCAAGCCAAAAAAAAACATTAACTTGCAGCAGGAATATGGTTTATGGAAAGAATGCAAAGAACATCATGGAAGGATAGAAGACAAAGAAAACAGCCCTACTGAAGACAGAAGAAAATCATAAAAGAAATCAGATGCAAAGAGTCTGTGTGTTTTTGACATGTTACGAAAAGGATTGGACTTTGAGATATTGGTAATGAACTGCCCAATCTGATGGGAAAAGAGCAAGGGGAAGGGGGGAAGGACGGAAGGAAAAGAGATCAATATCTGGATGGCTTGACTGAGTAAGAACATTAGCCTGATCAGAGTTTCCGGTTAATTGTGTGAGATAATGAAACATTCAGCCTATGTCTATCAACACAGCACATGATGATTAACAGGAAAGAGTTAATTACAAATTACATAAAGCTTGCTGAAAAAAGAGTTGAGTAATATATTCCTCAATACTTACACAATTCTTAAAGATGGATGATAGACCCACAATGCACCAGTCATTTATCATGTTCAATACTGTGGCCAAGCTTATTAAACACACTATTACTTCTGAAGTATACCTCACCTGTGAAGAAAACAGATTTAAGTATGTGGCACAAAAGATAAGTCAGAAGAATTCAAGACCACTAGCGGTGTCAGACAATGTGATGTTCTCTCCCCTTACCTCATCATTCTTCCAATGGATGATGTCACCTGGATCTGTAAGAAGACGAAATACTCAGTAGGGTACTAAAAGATGAGACCAGTCTGTATATCAGAGCTGGCATTTGCAGACGATGTGGCCCTGGTAGCTAAATCCGAGGCACATCTTTAATCCAACCTACTTGTCTGGAAGGAAGAACTTGAGAAGAGAGGGATGACCATTAGTATCTGCAAAACTGAAACCATGATGATCTCAGGAGAGGAGAAGAAACACCAGATCATGATGGGACAATATGTGTTGGAGCAGGTCTTTATTATCATCATCATCTCTATCCACTTCTGTTAAGCATCGTGGGGAGGAATAATATGCGACCCAGTTCATGCTGGGCTGCTATACTCTTGCTCCTGTAGCTGATCTTCTAAGATGTAGTGCGTGTGATGGTATCTGATCTTGCTGCATTCTAACAAGATGGCCAAACCACTTGATCTGCTGTTTCTGATGAATCTAGTGCAAGGTGCCATTCCCACAATTTGTCTGATAGTATCATTATTCACTAGATCTCAGATGGTTAGGTTGGCTGCTTTTCTCAGGCATTTCATCTCGCAGGTGGTGATTTTGCGTACATAGGCCTTAGTGTCCATGTTTGGCACTGGTAGCTTATTACTGGAATGAATATACTGTTTTTAATCTGTCTTTTTGCACTTATAGTTATGCATGGATGTCTTAATAATCTTGACAATTGGTATATAAGTGCACTTGCTTTCTGACATCTGGTTTCTATTTCTCTGTCAATTCTGCCATCCTCTGTGATCAGACTTCCTAGGTATTTAAATTTCCTAACTTGATTCAGACCAGAACAATTCAGCTGTATATGTTGTCAGCCAGAGGTTTTACTAACTTACATTGTTTTCTTTTTGATTGCATAAATCTTTATGTTGTATTTGCTGCATGCTGAGTTTAACCTTGTTATGTGGTCTTGCAGTCTATCCCTCTTCTGGGTAGAACAAGCACTGGTCGTCAACAAATAATAGTTCGTTTAAAGTGGGTGTCGATTACTTTGTCTGCCGCAGGTCAGCTAGTTCAAATACCTAGGATCTGTAATAGACTGGAATGGAAGCATTAGGACAGAGTTGGCTACTCAAAAAGAGGCAGCTGGGAGACTTTTCAAGGCCATCAATCGAGGGTTTTTCAGCAAAAGAGAAATTGGCTAGAGGATGAAAATGGCTGTTTACGACTTTACCTATGCGCCCGTCCTGACCTATAGGTGTGACTCATGGGGAACTAGAACAGCTCACAGAAGCCAGCTAAAGGCCTCAGAAATGAGATATCTGAGAAAAGTGGTCTAGGTGGCAAGAACGGACAAAGTTTGCAACCAGACAGTACGTCAGGATCTTGAAACACAGGCCTTACAAACTTGAGTGGATCAGTCCACAGTTACGATGGTTTGGACATTATGCAGAAGGAGAGAAAATCGGTCATCATGGCAGGCATGGGAGGCCAAGAACTAGGGAACCAGACTGTGACCCAGGATTTGCTGGGAAAACAACTTCCGATAGTCCCTAATTGAATGAAGACCGGAATGAATTAAAGCCAAAAAGAAAATTGCTGACAGAGAAGTCTGGTGATCTCTCTGAAAAACCTCTACACCCCAAGGTAGAAGAGGATCCATGAAGTAAATAAATAAGGCACAAAATATGTTAAATGAAGAATAAAGAACATCAAAGAAATGGATTTTAAAATGTTTAAAAGTGAAGTGACTGATTTAACCGCACCTGATTTGTTTTCATTTACCTGGGCTCTGTTCTCTCCACAGAGTGACTGGCCACTGCAAAAAATACATGATCTATATGGCTCCGTTGACGACGTTCTGCTGCCCAACACAGAAACAAGAATTAAAATAATAAAGGAATTTATCAGGTACTGTATACTGGAATTAACCTAACAGCATGTAAGAAAACTAACCAACTGTGAAATGAGGTGTTTGAGAAAGGCTGTGAATAAAACCAGAAGAGACTATGTGAAAGACAAAGATATAAGAAGAAATATTTTAACAATATCCACAGTTAGGATCATTGAGAACCAAAGATTTAAATGGTTCAGCCACCTAATGAAAATATACCCAAAAATGCCAGCATTGTGAGTTTGTACAACAGGAACATAGAAACAGCATGAGACACAGGGAGACCTAGACGAAGATGGATTGAAGGAGTTAGTGACAACTTGAGACTTCACAACATCACAGCATCGTAAACAACAGAGCTCCCCCCCCCCCCCCCATGGAACTTCTACAGATAATCTGCTAAACTGTGATGCCAAAAAAAAGTACAGTAAGAACTTGTTGATAAAAACTCAATTACCCTTTTCCCCCTGAACAGCCAAAATACTGACACTTTAGGCTGGGCCCAATTTCCAGTAAATGTCAAACTTGCTTATAGTGAACTGTTTAGGAGATTCCGAGAGACAGGGCTGAACAGTCTTGAGTCATGGCATCTGTCTCGAGTGCCAGAGGTCTCGGGGTCAGACCCCGGTGAAGACTGGGATTTTTTCCCGTGGATTTCTACTAATTTTCCCTGCCCTCTGGGTAGTAAGACCGGACGCCCATATGTATTGCTGGGCATGTTAAAAAAATCCCTTGGCAGTTGGAAATCGAAAAGAGTAGCCTAACGGCGCTGCCTGGGCAAAATTTGGAGTTGAAAATCTATCTACAGTATTTCAGAATCCTTGCCAGTGCTACAGAGTTTGTTCACTGTGCTGAGATTCTTTGGAAACAGATTTGAGTTAGAAGTAGAACAGAGCACTTATGGGTTACCACCCTTGTGCTATGATGTTGATCTGTTGTTTAAACAGAAACAGAGTTGCAAAGTTAATGCTACCTGCTGAGTTCACATGTGCAAACATTTGGGACTTCAGAATATGATAACATAAACTAAAAACAGCAGTTGGGGGGGGGAGGGGGGGGGGGAAGGGGAGGGGGTGGTCCTTTCAGCTAACGAGCTTTTTGAGAGCCAAACTGACATCTGATTATCTTGTAAAACCTAGTGAAAGAGGTCACGGAGTCACAGCATGAATCACCCAACACATGTGGGGTTGTTTTTTTTTTTGGCTTCAGGAGATGTATTCCACTTAATGCTACCCCCAGTTCATGTTTATTGATTTGTCTTTTTATATATCCTTTTATTTTTCAAAAATAATTTTAAAACATTTTTAAAAATGTAAACAAAATTATTAGTGACCTGTGCAAAAATTATTGTTTTTCTTAGTAATTTCTTTCTGGAATACTTGGGTCCCAACAGAAGTATTAATATTCCCTGGTTAGAACAAATACTGATAATACTGATTCTTCAGTCTCTTTGAATTTGTGTTAATGTGGTTTTACTGTATATAAACTGTAATTGAGAACAGATCCCATGTATGTGATCCTTGGGCCTTACTTTTGGATTAAAAAAAATATACCTACATGTTGTAGAAGGGGATTAATTAAAGGTGTTTTCATGAGAATTCTGCTGGGAAATCTACTAAGATTTCTACTGAGATTTTTACTGAGACATCCACTAAGAATTCTACTGAGATTTCTACTGAGACATCCACTGAGAATTCTACTGAGAATTCTACTGACATTTCTACTGAGATTTCTACTGACATTTTTCCTGACATTTATACTGAGACATCCACTGAGAATTCTACTGAGATTTCTACTGAGACATCCACTGAGAATTCTACTGAGATTTCTACTGACATTTTTCCTGACATTTATACTGAGACATCCACTGAGAATTCTACTGAGATTTCTATTGAGATTTCTACTGAGATTTCTACTGAGATTTCTACTGAGGTTTCTACTAAGATTTCTACTGAGGTTTCTACTGAGGTTTCTACTGAAATTTCTACTGAGATTTCCATTGAGATTTCTACTGAGGTTTCTACTGAGGTTTCTGCTGAGGTTTCTACTGAGGTTTCTACTGAGATTTCTACTGAGGTTTCTACTGAGACATCCACTGAGATTTCTACTGAGACATCCACTGAGATTTCTACTGAGACATCAAATGAGATTTTTACTGAGATTTCTATTGACATTTCTGCAGGGATGCTGATTTCATTGAAAGGTAAAGGTGAGAGGATGAACTTCATTGCTCTGGTTTTTGTCTTATATGGCTCAGTCTCTCTCTATCTCTCTCTCTCTCTTTCTCTGCAGAATGGCTCGTCGCCTGCTGTGAGCATAGGTTTTGAAAAAAGGCTACAGCCTAAAAATATCTTATCAGAAAGAGACAGTCATCAATTGTTGGTCAGGCTATGCGAAGAAACAAATTGGAACACGTTGTGATGACTTGAAAGATTTGTGGAAAGAGAGCTGGAAGAAAACATTGTGAGAAAATTATTGACCGCTTTTTGGCATGGAAGTGTGTCAGCAGCACACAAAAGCTTGTGTAGAGGTATGATTGCACATGCTGTTCGAGATCCTAGCTTGTGTAGAGGTATGATTGCACATGCTGTTGGAGATCCCAGCTTGTGTAGAGGTATGATTGCACATGCTGTTGGAGATCCCAGCTTGTGTAGAGGTATGATTGCACATGCTGTTGGAGATCCCAGCTTGTGTAGAGGTATGATTGCACATGCTGTTGGAGATCCCAGCTTGTGTAGAGGTATGATTGCACATTCTGTTGGAGATCCCAGCTTGTGTAGAGGTATGATTGCACATGCTGCTGGAGATCCCAGCTTGTGTAGAGGTATGATTGCACATGCTGCTGGAGATCCCAGCTTGTGTAGAGGTATGATTGCACATGCTGCTGGAGATCCCAGCTTGTGTAGAGGTATGATTGCATATGCTGGTCGGCAAAGCACTTGGTGATGATGAACATATTTTTAAAAAAATACAAATATCAAAAACTGATAAATTAGGAATTATTAACACAAAAGTTGTGTGTAGAAATCTCACTGTGTCTATTGGTCCCCTGTAGCCAAGCAAATCTTTTCCCATTGGTCGGGTGTAGATAGAAATACTGAAGAAGATGAGATGAATGGATGCAGTCAACAGATGAACCAAAAACCAGCTCTGAAAATAGTGTAAAAGCAATAATAGCATAAATTAATATTAGGTTAATTAAAAGCACCACTTCAGAATAGCGTTTTCCTATTCTAAATTTTAATTATGCGGACATAAACAATACATTTCACAATTTATTGCATGGCATATTTCACTATTTCAATTATTTCAATGTTAACATATGTAAGTGAAAGTTGGAGAACCACCAAAGAAGGAAACGAAAATTAAGCTCATCTTAAAACACACGCCTCAGGATAATGATGAAAATAAAATTAAATGAATTCAAAAGGAATGAAGAATTAAGAGAAATTTCTGGGTAAACACTAGTTTCAACAGTTATAAGACACGTGCTGCTTCTATAAGCCTTAATCACGTCTGCCTTACAGAAATTATCAAAGAATCACCAAACAGGCATTAAAGTGAGAAATAAAATGATAAAGGAGGCAAGGACGCCTAAAAGAAACCCTAAGATAAACACTGATGACAGAGGTCAAAGCTGTTGGACTGGATTCTGTCCATGATATTGAACTGTTTGCAGAAGACAAAATGGAATGAAGGAATAGACAGTGAGCCCTATGTGACATAAAATGGCACAACAAGAGAATGAATGAATGAATATTTCCCTGTATCAGGTTTCAATGACAGGATTCATTTTTGTGTTTCACTATAAGGTAGTTAGTTAGTTAGTTAGTTAGTTAGTTAGTTAGTTAGTTAGTTAGTTAGTTAGTTAGTTATTTAGTTAGTAAGTAAGTAAGTAAGTTAGTTAGTTAGTTAGTTAGTTAGTTAGTTAGTTTATAGTAATTCCTAATTCAAAAAGCAGTCTAGTATTCTGGGAATTTTTAGAAGCAACCTTGTATATTGTTATATCTGCAAGGGCTATTCCAAAATCAACCTCTGACTTGATTGTAAAAATAAACTTTGCCATAGCCACATGGTTCATTGCTTGCATCAGTCAGTAGGTTTTTTGTTGTTGTTGCTCACTATACGTGAGTTGCATTTGTTCAATGATTCATGAATCAAGAATGAGTAAACATGGACACTGTTGCTGCCTTTCGCGTCAGATGTGAAAATTGTGATGTGATTCTTTTCTTTAAGCAGAAGGTCAAAATGCCACTGAGATTTACCGTCAACTGTGTCAAGTGTAGATGATAACGTTACAAATGACAATTATGTGAAGGACTGATGCAGAAAATTCAGAGACAGGTGTAAATATGTGCATGATGAGGGTGGACAAGGATGACATTCATGTGCGACAGATGAGCTCAATCACAAAGTTGACCAAGTTATAGTGGAGAAGCACTGTTTCACAATTTCAGATCTTTCCATCAGATTTATCATCTGATCCTGGAAATTTGTGGAAATTCAGTGAACTGTGTATTTTCACCAGCCAATTGGAGTATGATTTTGGAATAGCCCTTGTATTTACGATTCAGCACACAATAATACTAGTAAAATAACAATTATCATTGCACAATTAATTAATCAAAGCTTAAATCCTTTGAGTCTCCTACAAAATTATAAGTGCCCCCCTCCCCTTTTTTTTGTTTCTATGTTTTCTTTGTGGCAGTGCCGTTGGGTCTACGTGTGTGGTGTAATGATCATTCATGACTCCACTGCTGAGGAACAGGTACAAGCACAGCTTGAGTTTTGCTTCTTGTAATTCATTTATTTGTCCTACATACGGAAACCTATGGAACATCCAGTCGATGGCCAAACCACTTCATTCTACATCTTTCTATGGAATTCAGGTTCAGTCTTGTTCCAAAATTCACCCTAATGCTAGTATTCAAGACACTGTCCCTTCTTGTGTTGTTGGTGTCCCTTCTTGTGTTGTTGGTGTCCCTTCTTGTGTTGTTGGTGTCCCTTCTTGTGTTGTTGGTGTCCCTTCTTGTGTTGTTGGTGTCCCTTCTTGTGTTGTTGGTGTCCCTTCTTGTGTTGTTGGTGTCCCTTCTTGTGTTGTTGGTGTCCCTTTTTGTGTTGTTGGTGTCCCTTCTTGTGTTGTTGGTGTCCCTTCTTGTGTTGTTGGTGTCCCTTCTTGTGTTGTTGGTGTCCCTTCTTGTGTTGTTGGTGTCCCTTCTTGTGTTGTTGGTGTCCCTTCTTGTGTTGTTGGTGTCCCTTCTTGTGTTGTTGGTGTCCCTTCTTGTGTTGTTGGTGTCCCTTCTTGTGTTGTTGGTGTCCCTTCTTGTGTTGTTGGTGTCCCTTTTTGTGTTGTTGGTGTCCCTTCTTGTGTTGTTGGTGTCCCTTCTTGTGTTGTTGGTGTCCCTTCTTGTGTTGTTGGTGTCCCTTCTTGTGTTGTTGGTGTCCCTTCTTGTGTTGTTGGTGTCCCTTCTTGTGTTGTTGGTGTCCCTTCTTGTGTTGTTGGTGTCCCTTCTTGTGTTGTTGGTGTCCCTTCTTGTGTTGTTGGTGACCTTTCAGAGACAGCAAATTTTACAGGTGATTATCATTTGTTCCTGTGACCTACATGTCCATGTTTGGCACTGACAGCATAAAGTGGGGATATAGATTAATCTAAAGTTACTAATTTTCTGCTGCTTTGCTAGAAGAAAGGATTTGATGGTCTAAGAAGTTAGGCTAGTTGATAGGTGACATTTGTCTAATGATTGCCTTCTGATCTGGGTGGACAATAATGTCCCCCGCCCCCTTCTGATCTGGGTGGACAATAATGTCCCCCACCCCCTTCTGATCTGGGTGGACAATAATGTCCCCCACATCCTTCTGATCTGGGTGGACAATAATGTCCCCCACCCCCTTCTGATCTGGGTGGACAATAATGTCCCCCACATCCTCCTGATCTGGGTGGACAATAATGTCCCCCACCCCCTTCTGATCTGGGTGGACAATAATGTCCCCCCATCCCCAATCTCCCCCATTAAAGATTACACACCTTTACATCACAGTGCAGAGGAGGAAAGATTGTGAATGAATGAATACTAACCTGAGCAAATGCTTTCCATTTCTCTATCAACAGCTGCCTCATCACCCCACTCTCCAGCATCTCTAGATGGTCATCAGTATCTCCATTGATAATGATCACCAGTGCAGAGTCCCAGTCTGAAATATGTGCACACTTATTTTAAAAAAATCTGGCCTCAAAAACATAAATATTTTGGCTACATCAAGTGACAAGTAGATTGGAAAGAATAGTAATAGAAAGACATGATATAGGGGCAGAGGCTGACCAGCATGAAGATGGGTGCCGGATAAATGAGAAAGTGGGTCGGAAAGTGGACGAGGCCAGCATGATGCCAGCCTAGCAAGTAAAAAATCCTAGACTGAATCCGGATGGAATCTAGCAATATTGCAGAGGGCATCTGGCAAGAGACTGAGTTTCTCTTGGGCAGGCTGTGATACAGTGGCGTTCTGCAAAGGAACTGCTACATGATGATGATTTAAAAAATATAAATCTTCTTCTTAGTCTATGATATTTGGTCTTCTTCCACTGTGTCTGTCAACAGCTTTCATGTAAAGCTAGTATAACAAATTCGCAAATATTTATTGGCACTCATACAAAGAAGTGGGGAGGACATAGAGTGAGCTACATGCAAAAGGTAGGACAACTTGGTAGGAGATGGCTAAGGGCCTATGCGCCACTGGGGGAATAAATGGCAGAAGAAGAAAGGAAAAACAAAGAATAAAAACAAGGTCTCAAAATATCAGCAACTACACAAACATATCTGGGGAGCATTTTTTCAGAAGATGGAAGAATAAATAAAGAAATCCAACAAAGATGCAATAAAGCCAATAAAGTTTTAGGTCAAATGGCACCAATAGTGAAATGCAAGCATGTGAATATAAACACTGAAAGAACATTGTTGAACACAATATTCTTACCAACACTTTGCTATTAATGTCAAACATAGACACTGTCTTCAGAAGACAAAAGATAAATAGTCTGGATAGAAATGAAATATTTATGTAACAGGGAAAGATCAACTTAGGAATGATTATATCAGTAAGAGAGATGGCACAGAACCAGTACTGAACTTTATAGACAGACAACAATTCAAATGGTTTGGCCATGTAACAAGACTGGCAGCAGACAGGGCACCACAGACAGCAATGTTACAGAGATACAACAGCAACAGAGCCAGAGGTCGACCACATGAAGTGGACTGCAGAAATATCAGAGACACTGAAAAATACTTTACACAAAGCAAACAGAAGGGCAGGTCCAGAGATCTCTTCCTGCAGTGATGCCGCAAGGCATTCCATGAGTAGAGAAAAGAAGAAGAGGAAGAAGAAGACCAAAAAAAAAAAAAAAAAAAAAAGATGAGATTAAATCTAAGACCTCAGGACTATAACATCTAATTAATAAATGAAAGTATAATCAACATTACATATATGACCAAAGAGAAGAGTCATCTCACCAAAATATCTGGAACACAAGTGAAAGCTCGATCAACAGCATCATGTTTTTTTAATCAGAACTAATAATAAATTCCTCTTCTTCTTTTTTCGTCTCACTGCTACCAGGTTGTAGCCTGGTGTCGTGGTTTTCTGTATTTGTTTTGCGCTTCTCGGGTGGCTTCGGTGATGGATTTATTATCCTTTTGCGGGTTTCTGTTACACCATTTATTTGTCTCTTTCTTGGACTTCCTCTTGCCGTCCTTCCAGATGTTCTGCTGTAAAAAAGTCTCATCTGCAGTTTGGTCTGGCTACATTCTCACTAGATGGCTGAACCATTTTATCCTTTGCCTGTCAATATAATCCAGGCATGGTTTTATTCCAACTTTCTCTCTAATGCTGGTTTTCGTAATCGTGTCTCTTCTCGCTAGTTAGTTAGTTAGTTAGTTAGTTGGGTTATCATCATTGCACTCCGGACATGTCAATAGGTGCTCAGATCCTCCCCTCAGTATGAACCCCAACGTCGGATGGCTAATAGTACCAGTTCTATGTTGATTAACAAGTCTTCTGACATGTCTGGTGTGTGTCTCGTTTTTTGCTATGCCGATCTTAATTCCCAAGTATTCCCTGTCTCTTTTTGTGTTGTTAGTGACCTTGCGGAGACAGCATATTTCACATGTAGTTATTTTTTTGTTTAATTGCCCTATTCATTATCCATGCTTGGCACAATAAAAAATCAAATATAAATGATAAAATAATTAGAGTTTAAAAAAAATGGTGAACTGCAGTCTTACTGGTGCTGCCATCTGGTCCTATAGAGTCCAGGGTTCGTAGAGGATAAGCTGAGCAAATTGTGGTACTAAATCTCCAGAACTCCTGAAAAAATATCACGAAAAATAAATATAACTGAACAATAACAATTATACCAGGATCACAGATACTGCAGGAAACTTTTCTTCTTCTTTGCACAATCCTTAATTTCAGAATTAATGCTTTTAGTAAGCATCACAGTTTGTCGACAGTCTTCATGGTTGCCGAAAAGTTTGACTTTACTGAGAATGTAACAGAAAAAGATAACAGCAAATATATTTCTGAGTAGGAAACAATGCATAATAAAGTCAAGACATCTAAATATTTAGGAGGCAATCTACTATTAGGTGCAAGAATCCTGTGTGGGTTCTGGACTTGGCTTACTTTGCGAAAAAAATAAAAAAATACACATGCTAAATCAGCATCCCTGAAAGGGAGCTTTAGGTTATAATTGTGACTAGGATATAGGCGCCATATAAAATGGCTTAGCACTGCTTACCAAGTAGCTCTGAAAAGAACTCTTGCAGTGTTGAAGTGATCAAAGGAGACAGACCTAAATACTGTTCAGACTGGCAACAAAGTCATCTACCGGCCAGACAATGGGCGACCCGGTTGCCAATATGTGTTCTGGAGCTCCAGTTCAAAGGAAAAAAAGAACAGATGCACTACCCCCTGTAACAAGCTTGTTGTAAGAACCAGCTAACACAATCTTTTTGCCAACCCTGTGCTATCCATGCCAAACCTGGAAAATGATAGAAAAGGAGAAAAAACAAAAACTGAAATGAGATTCCTGAAAATGGCTCTGAATACAACAAGAAGAGATATGATCAGAATTGATGAAATCAGAAGAAAAGTAGGGATAATGGCAGCTCTGGATTTTATTAGAAACCTAAAAGTGAAATGTTTTTGCCATTTAACATGGATGCCAACAATTGCCACCAAACAGTATACCACAGCAAGCAATGATTTACAGACCAGGTGGTAAGTGAAGAAGAGGCCAACCATGCAAATGATGGACAGAGGGATTAACAGAGTCCCTGGGAATCCTCATTTATCAAGCGCACTCATAGGCGCTTTCCTCTAAATTAGATTTTGCCTCGACACTGCAAGGTATAAGAGAATCAAGATGAGTTGAGAAAAGGCTGGCATTTTGTTCCCACGAATCTACTTTAATAACCGTACCATTTATATAGCGCTTGCACAAACATTTTTATACTGTAATAGAGGCCAGCCTCGAAGTCTTTTACCTGTCTGTAGTTCACTGTAGACGATGTCCTTTAGGTACTCTGCTATTCTATTCTTCAAGTGTGACCCAACCACCTGAGCCTTTTGAGACTAAGAAAACTGTTGTACTAACTGTGTTATCCTTCTTCTTCTTCTTCGCGTTCAGCGGCTGTAAACTCTGGCAGAAAGTTCTTGTTTTGTTGTCCACTTCTGGACTCTAGTCCTGTTTCAGAAACTGAGTGTTGCATACACATCCATTTCACAGATCTGACTCATTTGTATGCAGACTGTTGATTCCTTCCCCCTCAGGCAGATGTACTCTGACTTCGAAGGAAGCTCCCAATTAGTGGACTCCTAAGACATGCTTTTGGGCAGGAAGTGGGTCTATTCTTGTTTTTACCCACTATGCGGCCCCCGGAAAACACACATGGGGAAACTATCCAATGCCTCAGTTTTTATGACCTTGTCTTGCTACTTCACTCTTTCAGCCTCAAAACAACAAATCATATGTGACTTGATTTCCTCACATACACCAGTTAACATATTATAATGCTTTAATGTATAACCCAACAACATATTTGTTTTTCACAAGGGATGTGTATTGGGGCCCTGTGGATGTAGTATACCCATTATTTTGTTGATGTTACAAGAGACTCACTGGGACATCAACTTTGACTTTCTGGGATTGGAGGAGATAAAACCAAGTATAAGAGACTTATCACAAATACTCAGTAACATAAAGTAAAGGTTAAGTTCTTCATCTATGGTTAGTATCAGAATAATCCCCTTTACTTCCTAGAAAATTTCCTGGTTCTCATTTTAGATGTTCATGTGGAAGTCCATTCAGTTTTTTAAAATCTACCTGGTTGGAGATTTGAACTTATGACCTCTAGGTCAGCAGACAACAACAACAACAAAAACACAAAACTTCTCCCTGTTCTCTTCCTCTTCTTTTCTTCCTCTTCACATTCTCTTGTACCACATCGGGTGTCGAGGGAGACATGAGGTTCTGCTTCTTGTTTCTCTGATTTTATCTTTCCATATTGTTCTTGGTCTACCTTGCACTTCTTGTCCTCCCCCCTTTTTGATGTATGCCTTGTATGGTATGACATCACAAGGCATCCTCTCTCAGTGGGCAAACCATTTGATTTTGTCTTTGTATATAATTTAGAACTGGTTCTGTGTTGACATTTTCTCTTATGATTTCATTCCTGATTTTACCTCTTCTGATCCCTCCTGCAGCCCTTCTCAGACATTTCATTTCTATGATAATTAATCTTAGATTTACCTCTACACCCTAAGGAAGAAGAGGAGCGACTAAGTAAAGTAACTACCTTCAGATTTACCTCTACACTTCAAGGTAGAAGAGGAGCGACTAAGTAAAGTAACTACCTTTATATTTACCTCTACACCCTAAGGTAGAAGATTTGATTTGATTTGATTCAAGAACCAACATCACAGCACTTGGGGCATTCCCATAAGCACTCCGTCCCCATCTTCAGCAGTCAGCGAAAAGTTCCGATACTAATGGTGCCAGTAGCTTTCTGATTAAACGTCCGTCTTGACTTTCCTCTGAGCCTTGAGCTTCTACCAGAACCTCTCGTCACCCCCAACTGCATCAATCTCACCAGACTGTGGTGATCCATCTGCTCCTCCGCATTGTACACGCTCTCCCACAAGGCACTAACCACGCCTGCCCTATCATGTAACAGTATTCCACCAAGTTGTGCAGAGCCGGCCAGTCTGTCCGCCTGTTCATTTCCCAGCACACCAGCGTAACTCAGTGAAAAAATCCAGACAATACTCCTCACTCGTGTCCTCCGCAGCGAAGCATGCCACTCTGCACGAAGCATACCTGTTCTGATCTTCCTCAGGATGCTTTCTGAATCAGTTACAATTACAATGTGTGTGTGTGTCGTGTTCTCTAGCCAGCAGAAAGCTGCAGTGACCGCCTCCACCTCCATTCTTAAGCTGGATGTTGTGGTATCATATGCTAGGCTCTCCTGCACCAAACGTTGACCATTAACTTTTGCTAAAAAGCCCCAAGCACTTCTTTTGCCTCTTGACACTGAACCGTCTGTGTAAATGATCAAATCCTCTGAGCGAGCATTATCTTGAATTAATTGCTGAATTTCCACCTCTGTGGCACCTGCTGGCCAGTCTCTGCATTCCTGGCTCAGCGTGATTATGACTCTACACAAGTCTGACAGCTCAGGGGGCATTTTGACCCACTCCTCTCCTCACCTTATGTTCTCAAGGATGCAAACCTGTCTGATTGTGTCTTCTGCCTGAGTCATCCATGACCTCCCTCTTATCAGCCGCTGACCCTTAACTGCATCCAGAGCTTCATGCAGAGGGTGGTAGTGTCTGCAGCTACCCTGAGATATGACTTTGCCTGCATCACCTTGTGCCTACCTGCAACCGTCGGCAAACCAAGGATGTATCGCATACACACCACTGGGGTGTCTCTGGTGCAACCCAGAATGACCCGCATAGCCGCGTTCTGTATGCGCTCTAGTTTGTCCATCTAACTCTTTGAGACGGTAAACAGTCCCAGGCCATAATCCACCACTGACAGGATCAGGTGCTGATATAGTGTGAAAAGCATTCTCTGCTCTATGTCAATTGCAGCCATAGTCTTAAGTGCACTAAGTCCTTTTTGGCATCTCGTCACAACACTCTCCACATGGTCCTTAAATGACAGGCTCCTGTCAAATGTAATGACCAGATACTTCAGTTTGCTCTCTCTGTTGACATCTCTACTATCTATCGTGAGGCTTGGGACATTAGTTTCAACGATTCTGTTGTCCAGAGAACACCAAAAACAGACGCCTTTTCCGGGTGGACGACAGCCTTCATTTCTGTACACCACTCAGCCACTTTGTCTACTGTCGCTTGTAGCTCCTGAGCTGTTTGTTCCCTCTCTTCCCCCTGCCTATATTCAAGTATATCATCCGCAAAAGTCAGTATCCTTCCAACTCCTGGTGCTTCTAGGCTTGTAATCTTGCTCGTATACACGTTAAGGAAGAGCACAGGCGAGATGGCGGATCCCTGTGGCAGTCCTAGGGCCAAAGTGCATGATTCAGAGGTCCATGAGCCCAGTCGGAGAGCAACCCGACGTGAATACAGAACAGCTGCAACCCAATTTACCAGCCATGGATTGACCTCCTTCTCCCTCAGTGCAGTCATTAAGATGTCATATCTCACTCTGTTATAAGCATCTTCGAGATCCAGTCCAACCGCCATAGTTTCCTGTCTGTTCTGGAACCCTTCATAGACATAAAGTAGAAGAGGAGCAACTAAGTAAAGTAACTACCTTTAGATTTAACTCTACACCTTAAAGTAGAACAGGAGTGATTAAGTAAAGTAACTACCTTTAGATTTACATCTACACCTCAAGGTAGAAGAGGAGCGACTAAGTAAAGTAACTATCTTTAGATTTACCTCTACACCTTAGAGTAGAAGAGGAGCGACTAAATAAAGTAACTACCTTTAGATTTACCTCTACACTCTAAGGTAGAAGAGGAGCGACTAAGTAAAGTAACTACCTTTAGATTTACCTCTACACTCTAAGGTAGAAGTGGAGCGACTAAGTAAAGTAAAGTAACTACCTTTAGATTTAAACTAGATCAAAGGACAATATCCGGATACTTACAATGCTCTCTAAATCCAGTATTTCATTAAATAAGGAGTGCCTGCCCAGTTGACAGGCTAGGGTCAGTGGTGTCAGATTCTGTTTGTTCTTGATAAGTGTACTTGCTGGATGCGTGTGGTGTCGTACTGCATATGTGTACATGCCCTATTGAGTAAGACAGAGCTGATATCACTTGGAGATACCCTGGTGGCAGTGGACAGGTTTCAATATAGTTGAGTTAGCTAGTTAGTTAGATGAGTTATTATCATTGTCCTCTAGAAATGTCCATAGGTGCTGAGATCCTCCACTCAGTATGAACCCCTTGCATCAGATGCTTAGATCCTCCCCTCAGTATGAAACCCTAGCATCAGGTGCCTACATCCTCCCCTCAGTATGAACCCCTTGCATCAGGTGCCTAGATCCTCCCCTCAGTATGAACCCCTAGCATCAGGTGCCTAGATCCTCCCCTCAGTATGAACCCCTAGCATCAGGTGCCTAGATCCCCCACTCAGTATGAACCCCTAGCATCAGGTGCCTAGATCCTCCCCTCAGTATGAACCCCTAGCATCAGGTGCCTAGATCCCCCACTCAGTATGAACCCCTAGCATCAGGTGCCTAGATCCTCCCCTCAGTATGAACCCCTAGCATCAGGTGCCTAGATCCTCCACTCAGTATGAACCCCTAGCATCAGGTGCCTAGATCCTCCACTCAGTATGAACCCCTAGCATCAGGTGCCTAGATCCTCCCCTCAGTATGAACCCCTAGCATCAGGTGGCTAATAGTACCAGTTCTATGTTGATTAACAAGTCCACTGATGTGCCTAGTGTGCATCTCATTTTTTTCTTATGCTGATCTTAACTCCCATGTCTATTTTTCTGGCGAGTGATGTGGATTCACAGCTCCCAAAGTCCTCCACTCTTCCCATTTCTCGAACAGCATTAATAACATCAGCATGATTCATGGGTTGACCATGGTATGGTAGTGATAGCAGATCCAGCCCATCTATGAGCTCTTTCATTTCCATCGAAGCCCATGTGTCCCAGAATGAAAATAAGGTTGATTCCATACACAGCGGACTTCTGTAATGATTCAAGCCATTGCCTTCATACTGAAAAAGCCTATGTGCAATGAAACTAAATCCCTGTGTAATTAAATAGATGTTGTACTCACCAAAACAAATCTGTATGCAAATATGCTACTTAAACCAAAACATGCCTAGCTACTGAAATAAACATAATTTTGTCATAATTTTGACACTCACAATCTGAGTAATTTAATGGGTGAAATTATTCAACCAATCACTTGACAATTCTTTTGCATCTCGATCATCAATAGTTTTTAGGTGTACAGGCTTTACCATCAACTAAGAAAAATGTTTTTTTTGGTTTAGGTTTCAACAACGGACTAACACCACAGCAAACAGGTAGTAACTCATAAGTGCTCTGTTCTTCTTCTAACTCAAGTAGGAGTCCGAAGAAGCTCAGCACAGTGGACAGGCTCTGTAGCACCTGCGAGGATCCTGAAATACTTTGGGTAGATTTTTAACTACAAATTTTGTTCGGGCAGCACTGTTGGGCTACTCTTTTTGATTTCCAACTGCCAACAGATTTATTTACGTGCGCAACAATGCACACAGGCATCCGATCTCACTACCCAGAGACCAGGGGGAAACTACTAGAAGTCCAAGTTCACGTGAAAAATCCCAGCCCTTACCATGGATTGAAACCGGAACCTCTAGCACTCGAGGCGGACACCATGCCTCAAGACCACGCAGCCTCATATTAAATGTACCATCAAATACCTACACACCACCTTTATTTCCCCCACACAGTAAAGACACATTAATGACGTACAGACTCACACTTTGATCAGAGATAACCACCATGTGGAGAACCGTGTTACCAAAGGAATCCTGCAAGTCAGGGTCAGCCCCATGATCTAAAAGGTAGTCGTAGATGTCCTTGTTCCCCAGGCAGGCAGCAAATGCCAGGGGATACTCACCGTAGTATGCATAGCCTGTAGATAAGGGATGGGGGTGGGTGGCAAGGTAAAATGCATATAAATACAAGGTCCGACAATTAGGTAATGAGACTAATTCCATAAAAATTAAAATAATGAGCAGCTGAAGACATAACCTGTATTTTATTCAAAGTAAACTCCTTGTGCATTGATACAGCAAGTGACATAATCTAACAAACACTGGAACGATCTCTGTAGTTCCTCTGTTATGGCCCCCTAAAGTCGATGTTACGGCCCTTTGATTATCATCAATATTGTTAAAGAAGCGTCCATTCAATCTTAACTTTAATTTTGGGAATAGAAAATAATCACAGGAAGACAAATCTAGGGAATAGGGTGGAAGGCTGAGAACACATACTTGTTTTTGGGCCAAAAATTCTTGTTTTAATGATGTCTCTTGTGTACTTAACCCGCTGATGTTTTTGATCATTAGACACAAATGTGGTACAAACCGACAAGCAACTTTTTTCTTGCCAAAAATCTTGCACTAAAATGTTATGAATGGTCTCTCTATTAACATCAGATTCATCTGCCATCATCCTCACAGTAAAACAATGATCTTCTTGTATCCGTTCTCTGACTTTTGCAATGAGTTCATAATTACGAACAGAAATTTAACGTCCAGGTCTAGGTGCATTAATAATCATTTCCATACCACATTTGTCCCCATAAACTTGTTGCATCAATTCAACTGTTGCAGCGGCTTTTTTTTCTGAGTTTTAAAAAGAATTTAATGTTAGCTTTTTTGCTCCATACTGATTACATAACAATGCACTTATAGGTAGACAAAATGGTGGCTTTGTTGTCGTAAACAAAATGGTGGCTTGTTTGTTGTCTACTTATCAAGCGGCGATGAAAAGTTGCCAGACCATAGATTAATGTTGCCTCTTTAGATTCCATGCTTTGCTTCATAGATGGTATTTTTGTCTTAGCCAAAATAAAATCAGTCTCATTACTCAAACATCGGACCTTGTATATATGAAATTTGTTCAAAAATAAAAAAAAGCATTGTTATCTGATGGTGAGGTTTTATTAGTTGATGGGAAACACCTATACGCCTAAAATCTATTGATGACAGATGCAAAAGAACTTTCAATTCACTGGTAGAACTCTAGTTTATTCTTGTGTACAATCTGAATAATTTCACTCATTAAATTACAAAGATTTTAATGTCCTAATTATGATAAAATTATGTTCCTGTCAGTTGTTATGCAGGCATCACTTCAGAGATCCCAGGTAGTTAGTGTCCTTTGGATATTTTATCGAGGTCATGCTGGCGTGTTGGGAAAGAGCAGACAGATAGACTGGCTGGTTGGGCACCACTTGGTGGTTAACTGATGTATGACAAGCTAGATATGTTGAGGGCCCTTTGGGAGCGAGCAAACAATGTGGAGGCACAAATAGATCATTTTGGTCTAAGGAGAATGGCGCTGCGAGGAGTTACCATTGGATCTGGCTGACACTCAATGCTCAGGGAAAAGGCGAGATGTATGTACAGTTAGACAGTGACAGAAACTATGGGAAGTGGAACTCTTTGCCTGCTGCTGAAGATAGGGATGGAGCCCTTATGGGATTATACTGAGTGCTGTGATGTCAATTCTTCATTTAACATTCAGTATTATGCGTTTCATTTTCTTTCTTCTTTTTCTGTATAGTATATGTTGCAAGAAGTGCCCTTAACAGGACCAATACTTCAAGAGCACAAGACTTCAGATTCTTATTGGGACCTGTCTAATGTGCTCTGCAAGCAGCTTACATTCTTATTAGGACCTGTCGAAGTTGCTCTGCAAGCAGCATAGATTCTTATTAAGACCTGTCAAGGTGCTCTGCAAGCAGCATAGGTTCTTATTAAGACCTGTCAAGGTGCTCTGCAAGCAGCATAGATTCTTATTAAGACCTGTCAAAAGTGCTCTGCAAGCAGCATAGATTCTTATTAGGACCTATCAAAGGTGCTCTGCAAGCAGCATAGATTCTTATTAGGACCTGTCAGAGGTGCTCTGCAAGCAGCACAGATTCTTATTAGGGCGTTTCAAAGGTGCTCTGCAAGCAACACAGATCCTTATAAGAACCTGTCAAATGTGCTCTGCAAGCAACACAGATCCTTATAAGAACCTGTCAAAGGTGCTCTGCAAGCAACACAGATCCTTATAAGAACCTGTCAAAGGTGCTCTGCAAGCAACAAAGATCCTTATAAGAACCTGTCAAAGGTGCTCTGCAAGCAGCACAGATTCTTATTAGGACCTGTCAAAGGTGCTCTGCAAGCAGCACAGATTCTTTTTAAGGCCTGCCAAAGGTGCTCTGCAAGCAGCACAGATTCTTATTAGGGCCTGTCAAAGGTGCTCTGCAAGCAACACAGATCCTTATAAGAACCTGTTAAAGGTGCTCTGCAAGCAGCATAAATTCTTATTAGGGCCTGTCAAAGGTGCTCTGCAAGCAACACAGATCCTTATAAGAACCTGTCAAAGGTGCTCTGCAAGCAGCATAGATCCTTATAAGAACCTGTCAAAGGTGCTCTGCAAGCAGCATAGATTCTTATTAGGACTTGTCAAAGGTGCTCTGCAAGCAGCATAGATTCTTATTAGGACCTATCAAAGGTGCTCTGCAAGTACACAAATTCTTATTAAGACTGGCCCATCTCAAAACTCTGTAACAGAAGAAATTAGACAAGCCAAAATGGACCCACATCCAGGCAGAAAATAAAGATATGGAACCCAAAATACAGATGACAATAAACACAGTCGTGGTAAAAAAACCCATTCAATAGTACATAAAAGAGAACAATCTCAGTTATAACCAAAACATTCACAGCCAGTAACATCACCAGCACCAATGACACTGCCACTAACATCACTAACACTGACGACACTGAAAGTAACATCACCAGTATTGATGACATTGCCAGTTACATCACCAACACTGTTAGTAACATCATCAGCACCAATGACACTGCCACTAACATCACCAACACTAACAACACTGCTAGTAACATTACCAGCATTTATTACACTGCCAGTAACATCACCAACACTGTCAGTAACATCACCAACACTGTCAGTAACATCACCAACACTGTCAGTAACATCACCAACACTGTCAGTAACATCACCAACACTGTCAGTAACATCACCAACACTGTCAGTAACATCACCAGCACTGATGACACTGTAACTAACATCACTAAACACTGACGACACTGCCATAAACATCACCAGCACTGACGACACTGCCAGTAACCTCACAATCACTGTCAGTAACATCACCAGCACCGATGACACTGCCACTAACATCAATAGCACTGATGACACTGCCAGTAAAATCACCATCTCTGATGACACTGCCAGTACGATCACCATCACTGATGAAACTGCCAGTAACATCATCATCACTGATGACCCTGCCAGTAACATCACCATCACTGATGACCCTGCCAGTAACATCACCATCACTGATGAAACTGCCAGTAACATCACCAGCACTGATGACACTGCCAGTAACATCATCATCTCTGATGACACTGCCAGTACCATCACCATCACAGATGAAACTGCCAGTAACATCACCAACACTGTCAGTAACATCACCAACACTGTCAGTAATATCACCAACACTGCCATAAACATCACCAGCACTGACGACACTGCCAGTAACATCACAATCACTGTCAGTAACATCACCAGCACTGATGACACTGCCAGTAACATCAACATCGCTGATGACACTGCCAGTAACATCACCATCTCTGATGACCCTGCCAGTACGATCACCATCACTGATGAAACTGCCATTAACATCACCAGCACTGATGACACTTCCAGTAACATCATCATCTTTGATGACACTGCCAGTACCATCACCATCACAGATGAAACTGCCAGTAACATCACCAACACTGATGACACTGCCAGTAACATCATCATCTCTGATGACACTGCCAGTACCATCACCATCACAGATGAAACTGCCAGTAACATCACCAACACTGTCAGTAATATCACCAACACTGCCATAAACATCACCAGCACTGACGACACTGCCAGTAACATCACAATCACTGTCAGTAACATCACCAGCACTGATGACACTGCCAGTAACATCAACATCGCTGATGACACTGCCAGTAACATCACCATCTCTGATGACCCTGCCAGTACGATCACCATCACTGATGAAACTGCCAGTAACATCACCAGCACTGATGACACTGCCAGTAACATCATCATCTTTGATGACACTGTCAGTACCATCACCATCACAGATGAAACTGCCAGTAACATCACCAACACTGATGACACTGCCAGTAACATCACCAGCACCGATAACACTGCCACTAACATCAATAGCACTGATGACACTGCCAGTAACATCACCATCACTGTTGACACTGCCAGTAACATCACCATCACTGATGACACTGCCAGTAACATAAATTTCATCCACTTCACCACTGATAACAATGTTACCACTGCTACTATCCCTAACCATCATCACTATTGATAAAACCAAAACCGCTGCGAGCATCACCATCAAATTTTCACCCAAACACCCAATGAACTGCATTTCTAATGTCGGACTGTTGGTGTTAGCACTTCCGATGGCTAGCGTATGCTTTAATGCGCGTGTATGCTAGATATGCCGAGACAGCAGTCTGTCAATCTTTCCACAAGGGACTGTGATAAACATTCTGTGAGTATTTCATTGGCACAGGAGCGGAGCAAAGATGGGGTGACCTGTTTGCTATGAAGCTGAAAAACTAAGACTACCAGACCCAAACACCACAGTCACTATCACTGTTGACACCACTCTCACGACCAACACTGCTGCCACAAGCATGATCATCGTTACTATTTTCACCATCTCCACTGCTGTCACTAGCTAAGTCGCAACCACTGTTGTCACCAACACCACTGCCATAACAATCACCTGTCCACGATTTTCACCAACACCATCATCATCATCATATTTATCACCATTCTTGTTCTTCTTCTTCTGCTTCTTCTTCTCCTTCTCCTCCTTTTCCTCCAATCCTATATCCTTCAAGTATCAGGTTTTGAAGAGACATCAGGCGTGAACCTTGGTATGTGCTACAGAGATTCTTGTATTTATGGCCTCTTGTATTCCCTTTATCCATCGCTTGTTTGGTCGACCTCTGGCTCTGCTTCCATGATGTCCAAGCGACATGGCTCTATGAGGTACACTGTCTGGTGGTAGTCACATGTCCAAACCATATGATCCATTGTCTCTTGATCTAGTTTAATACTGGTTAAGTCCCAACTTCTTTCGTGATATCATCATTTCCTAACCTGCCTCTTCTATTGACGTTTAGGATTTCCACTTCTGATACCACGGGGTTCTGAGCCGTGCTTCAGAGTTTCGTGCACGAGTGCCCAGTCTCCTATCTGGGTTTCATCAGCATCCTGTGGTGAAATTTAATTTCTATTAATCGCACGATGCTGATAAGTATGTTGAGAGGGGAATCTGAGCGACTATGGAAGTGTCTGGAGTGCTGTGAAAATAATCTAACTCATAACTTATTTAGGATTCACCATAGACACTTCATTTATGTTGTTTGGATTTTTCTTTTGCCTTTGTTGGTAATGTTCATATTTGGCACTGATAACACCATCCTGATATATCTTTATATGTCTCATAAGGCTTGTAGTCAATTTCTCCCCTCTAGTTCATCCTGTGCAAAGTTTTCAATATCATGGATGGAATCTAATCAGCAAATCTAACCTCTGTATGAGGGATTGTATATGTGTGTGTATGTATGTAATGTGTGTGTGTATGTATGTAATGTGTGTGGGCATGTATGTGGGTGTATGTATGCATGTATGAGTGTATGAATGCATGTTTGTGGATGTATGTATGCAATTGTAGCAGTGTAAGTATGTGGGCGTATGCGGGTGTATGTGTGTGTATTTAGGTATGTATGCAAGTATGTATGTATGTATGTGTGTAAAGATGTAGGTGTATGTATAAATGTGTTAAGTATGTGTGTGTATGTATGCATGTGAGTTTAAGTATGTGGGTGTATGTGTGTGTATTAAGATATGTATGCAAGTATGTATCTATGTGTGTAAAGATGTAGGTGTATGTATTGATGTGTGTATGTATGCATGTATGTGTGTGTATATATGTATTATGCATGTGAGTGTAAATGTGTGGTTGTGGGCATATGTGGGTGTCTGTACATGTGATTGTATGTGTGTGTATGCATGCATGCATGCATGTGTAGGTGTGTATGTATGGAATGAATGTGTGTGTGCATGTATGTCAATATGTGTATGTCTGTGTCTTTTCTGTTTGTGTATGTATGTAGATGCATGTATGTATGTATTAGATATGTCTGTATATGAATGTGCATGTATGAGAAGGTAAGAGTATATATACATGTGTGTGAATGTGTAAGATTGCGTACACATGATGTGTGTATGCATTATTCTATAATGCATATTTCTTTATTATATCTATAACATGCATTATTGATAACAGGTATTGGTGCTCTGAAAAATGAGTGCTTTGAAGGGCCGAAGGTCAGACAGGCCTGCGTGCCCAATTTGTAACCCTTTGAAAATAAGTTTGTTCGTTCGTCATTCGTTTGTTCTCTCCTCAACATTTATTGAAGGTTTTTCTCAAGTGTCCTCCTTTCCTCACTCCTTTTGTTTCCCTTTTCAGTTCCTGTCTGGTGATTCCCCATTACCTTCTCCTCATCATGTGCTTGCAGATCCTCCTCTGCTGTGCGAAATATGGTTGACTGGAAGGGCCGAATGTAAGACGGGCCTGCGTGCCCAATTTGTGACCCTTTGAAAATAAAGTTTGTTCGTTCTTTCTTTGTTTTATAACTGAAGTTTGAAGTATGGATAAACATCATGGCACACAGGTAGTAACCCATAAGTGCTCCGTTCTTCTGCTAACTCGTCTAGGTCCAAAGAATCTCAGCACAGTGCACAGGCTCTGTAGCACCGGTGAGGATCCTAAAAAACTTTGGGTAGATTTTTAACTCCAAATTTTGCCAGGGTAGCATCGTTAGGCTATTCTTTTCGATTTCCAACTGCCAAGGGATTTTTTACATGCACAACAATGCACATGGGCATCCGATCTCACTAACCATAGACTAACTGGAATTACTAGAAGTTCAGGGAATTACTAGAAGTCCAAGTCAAAGAGGAAAAAATCCTAGCCCTTAATGGGCATTGAACCCAGAACCTCTAGCCTTTGAGGCAGACACCATGCCTTGAGACCACTCGGCTCTCCTTTTGTCTTATAACTAAACACATGCAGACGTCTAGGTATCTCATCTACATCCTTGCATTTCCAGAAATTCAAAGCACCAACACAATCACCACAAATGTTAATATTTCAAACATCTAATGTACATTACCTTTATAATTAGTCCTTCCAGTGTATCCCTGCTTCTGATCCTCTGGCAGAAAGAACCTCCCTGTTGCCCTCTGATTGACCAGAGCTCCAGCACTGACCAACATTTTCACCAGGTCAAAGTTCCCTATGACAATAGCTATATGCAAGGCACTCTCACCTAAAGTCAGGGGAAAATAATTATGTACAGTAATAAATAACAGCCAGGTTACACAACAAGATTACTTCTTCGCTACCTCCTGCTCTCCCTTCTTGCTCTCCTCCTTCTCCTTCTCATCCCTCCTCCTCCTATTCCTCCTATCACTGTGCTGCTTACATCCACATTATGGTACTGGCTACATACACATTATGGTACTGGCTACATACACATTATGGTACTGGCTACATACACATTATGGTACTGGCTACATACATATTATGATACTGGCTACATACATATTATGATACTGGCTACACACATGTTATGATATTACTTGCAAACATTATAGTACTACTTACATACACATTTGTATACTATTTACAGACACTTTGTTATTGCTTAGCATGCTTATTATGGTACTACTTATCTGCACATTATGGTACTATTTACATAGACACTATATTATTACATATTATTGTATAGATATAATTATGGTACTACTTACATTCACATTATAGTACTATTTACATAGACATTATATTATTACATATTACTGTTTACATATAATTATGGTACTACTTACATTAACATTATGGTACTATTTACATAGAAATTATATTATTATTTGCATACACATTATGGTATGACTTACATACACATTCTGGTACTATCTACATGGACATTTTTATTGATTACATACACATTATGATACTACTTAATACACATTATGCTACTATTCATAAAGACATTATATTATTGCTTACATACACAATACAGTACTGTTTACACAAATATTTTGGTGCTGCTTGCATACACATTATAGTACAACTTACATGCACAACATCACTCTCTTTACATACAGATAAGCGTACAATTTATAAACACATCACATTACTGCTGACATATACATAAATAATATATCAGGCTTCATCGTAGTTACTGCCCTCATGACATCTGTCCCTCATATTTGTTACCTTTAGCCATCTTGTTTCAGTTATTTAGCTTTTTTTCATTAGCTATTATTGTAACTCCTTTTACATTTGTCTCAACAGTAACAACAGATAGAAATAACATGTCAGTTACTTTACAGGACATACATCTTTCAGTGACAAAAAGGTTGAAATTTGAAATACTTTTTAGTAACAATTTTGTAAACCCGAAAATTTTAAAGGTGAATTATTTTATGGTAACAACTTCCTATTACAGAAAGAAGTTCAACTTGCATAACTGTACACAGGGCTATACAACTAAGTTTACTCGCAGGCCAAAATGTGGAAAATTGTGGTCATCGTGGGCGAAGTGTAAAAAGATTATTAACTTAATACAACTGACAACATTTTCATTGAGTAACTTTAATAAACTCGAAAACTGTTACTCTTAGACCTAGGGCCTAACTACTGTATAATAAATGAAACAGTGTTATAAACCATTATAATGTAAAGTGTACTACAATGGTTTGTAAGGATTAAATTGATACTCACTTTTAATTGAAATACATGTATTTCAAACTTGCCATTGGAATTATAAATACACATTAGCATTATTACCTCAACTGTCATTATAATATTGATAAAAATAACTGTCCACAGTTCGTTTTTAAAACGGTTTTAATATAACTTTGTGAAGAAGAAACCAAATGTTATAACGACGTGACTCTCCATGTTTCTACTCTCCATACAACAGTTCGAATTTGACATAAGAATAAAAAAATTTTTAGTTCAGTGATAGTTTTAATCTCCCTTGAACTGCACAAATTTCTTAGATCTATCTATGAAAGCTCTTGCCTTTTGTAAATTGCACTTCAATATCTCTATTAGATCCCCTATCTCTATCTACATTACTGCCCCTGAGTCACCAATTGAATTGCCATGTTTTACAGTAACAGTGTTCTGAGACAAAAAGATTTAAACTTGAATTACTTGACAGTAACTCTTTTCTGAGACAAAAAGGTTTAAACTTGAATTACTTTTTAGAAAAGTCTCTCTGTTATAGAAAGAAGTTCAACATAAATTACTTTTAAAATGTTCTTTGATAGAAAGGTTTAAACTGAAATTACTTTATAGTAATAATTTTCTGTAAGAGAAAGGTTTAAACCTGAACCTTTTTATAATAACAACTTCCTTTAACAGAAAACAGCTCTAAATACATTAATTTTAAATGTCCGTTTACATAAAACAATCTGAAATACTTTACAGTGACTTTTTTTTTTAAACAGAAAACAAGTTCAGTTACTTTATAAACTGCAAGATTGATTGTTACATTTTTTTTAAAAATAGTAACAATTCCTGCACCAGAAAGTGATAAGCTTGAATTACTTCCTGTAAACTTCCCGTAACAGAAAAGGCTGAACTATAATCACTGGAATAGAACAGAATAGAATGGAAGAAATATAACAGTTTTTTAAGCACCAAGCAGTGCACTTCGTGTTAATTAATTACTTATTACATTTTGTAGGTTTCCGAACTAAAATAATAACTGAAATAATATAATATACATTGGAACAATATCCATCATTGAAAAACAAAGACTGAGATGCTTCGGCAACCTAGTGAGAATGAATCCAATGATGCTAGCAGCAAAAGGGCGCAACATTAAAACTTTAACACCAACATGTAGAGGGAAAACTAGAAGAAAATGGACTGAAGAAGTAACTTCATATGACAGCAAAGCAAGCAGGTGAGCATGCCCTAGCTCAGCTACCTATCATCTGTTCAACTGCAACTTCTAGCAGCACAAAGCAGGTACTGTCAAATGAATACGTAAAAAAAAAAAAGAATATGCATAAGAATTAATCTTTTTCTTCTTCTTTGTTCACCGGCTGTAAGCTCCAGCAGCAAGTCCTGGTTGTCCATTCCATTTGGACTTTGGCTTTTTGCCACGGCCTGAGTTTTACCCGTATATCCGTTTTACTGGCTTATTTGTGTGCTGCTGCTTGTTTCTTGCCACTCGAGCAAATGCCCTCCGACTTTGAATGAAACTCCCAACTAGTCGACTCCTACGACATGCTGGGAAGGCAGTGGGTCTGTTCCAGTTCTCTCCACAATGGGGCCATGGAACCCACACAGGGAATAAGATTTAATAAGAATACAGAGGTGAAGGGTCATGCTGGGATATAAGGTAATGAGCGAGAGGACCAACTGGCAAACAATGCACCAATGCATACAGGGGGAAGCCTGGACAGAGCAGATATCATCAACACAGTGTTCGGACTGGGATAGTGAATAATCTTTGTTACTTTTACGATTGCGTACATAAGGGTAAAGCACGGTGAAGTGTGTCTATGCCGCTTGTGAGGCCGAGATAAGAGACAATAAACCAACCTCCTTAGGAAAGAGCGGAGGACTGAGCATGCATGGGTATGCCTAATGTGCATTGACGTGGATTGTGACAACATAACATAACAGAGTTTAAAAACAACATAATATGAAACCGCATATGAGGAAAATTTAGAAGAAATTACTGACCATAGTATTCTTCTCCTTCATAGATATCCAAGGCTAGATTAGGATACAAGTTCAGAAGAATTCTGGCCACCTCGAAATGCACTGGCGTATCCATTAGAATTAAGAGATGAAATGGTGTTTCCCCGACCTCTCCTCGTTTTTCCAGATCCCAGCACGCATCATGTGGAATGAACTTGTTGAAATAATCCTCAATATTATCAGCTTGCAGCCGATCATCGGAAATCATCTCACTGTCATCCAGACCCTGAAATTATAATACATTCAGTTATATCAAATTTCATACATCAATCAGGTTTCAATAAAGTGCCATCTATGTAGTGAAGGTTGAGAGCACTGAATCTCCAAAATGCTCTTTTTTTTTTCTCATTCTAGTTGTACACTCTCTAAGACTGCTGTTTATCCATTTCTTTATGTTACTTTAGGTCATGAGTGCAGGGGGCCAGCTGGTGCTACAGAATCAGAAGTTCAACATATGATTTGTGACAATTAACACCCAGGTGATGTGATTATCAATACAGATGGCTCTGTTTTGAGAGGCAAACGAAGAGCATGAGGGTTCATAGCAAAAGCTAATAGATGTTCCTTAGTAATAAAAAGCCTGACATATGATATCACAACATCCAATTTGAGAATGGAGGTGGAGGCAATCACTGCTGCCTTTTGCTGGCTTGAGAATCAGCTGTACACACATGGCGTAAATGTATCTGACTCACAGGGTATGTTGAGAAAGGTGAAGGCAGGCATGCTCCATGCAGAGTGGCAAGCATCGTTTCAGAAATCCTGGGTATTGGTATCCTCTAGATGTAAAGATTGAACAGCCTTAAAAGTCTATGGTTAAGCACCAGCAAGGAGATAAAAATTATAATTTTAAGAGCATGCATCTTCCCTGTGGCTACATACGGATGTGAGTCGTGGACTATTTCTCAGTCCTTAAGAAAGAGAATAGATATGTCTAGATATGTCTCAACATACTCTGTGAGTCATATGTTACAATCACAACTTGTGAGTGATGCTGGTTCTCACACCAGTGGAAGGCTGCAGTGGCTGCCTTTATCTCCATTTTTAAACTAGATATTGTGGTATCATATACCAGGCTTTGTTTCACTATTGGTCATCCGTTCGCTTCTGCTATGAACTCCCATGAACTTGTTCTGCCTCTCAGCACAGGATATCTGTGTGGATAAACACATCACATGGATGGACGGATATTGTCAGGAATCACCTACCCCTGTAAGATCGATTAAATCCCCTTTGAGGATTATGGGATTGTTACATTCCTTTTCTTTCTGTTTCTGTCATAATGTATAGAAATATATTCATCATCATCATCATGTGTCATGCCAGTAAACATAGGCTGTCACATTTTACCATCTTACAAGATCACCAGAATCACAGATCTGGTCAATGTTTTTCTCTCCCTCCGTCTAAATGGCCAAAAAATGCAGGCATTTATCTCTTTTGCTTTCCTCTTGCTTTATTTCCATCAGTCTTGCCAGCTGTTACCAAATTCTCAAGTTCATTCTTTCTCACACATACATATATATATATATTTAAAAAAAACAGACAGAAAAATATTATATTTGTATTAAATTTCAACATAAATTAAGACCCTCAGCTATACCGCTCTGCTGAACCAAGCAACCATCAGGTATCCATAATCGCAGTTTTGAGATGTTTCTATCTTTTAATGGTGTCCTCTAAGGGAGAAAATCCTATGCTGCACTGCCTGGTGTTCCAACAAAGCATTCTTTTAATGTGACCTCTTGTAGCAGCCATTTTGTAATCCAGTTAACAAATGTTTATGTCTAATGCTTCATCAGTATTTAATCTTCTTCTTCACGTTCACCAACTGTAAACTCTAGCAGAAAGTTCTGGTTGGTTCCCCACCTCTGGACTTCAGACTTGTTCCAGAACCTAAGTGTTGAGTGCACATCTGTTTTACAGATCTGACTTATTTGCATGCAGACTGTTGGTTCCTTGCCTCTTGGACAGATGCCCTCTAATTTTAAAACAAAACTCTAATAAGTCTACTCTTAGGATATGCTTGTTGGGGAGGCAAGCCGGTTTGTTCCTTTCTTCCCCACAATGAGGCCCTAAAGCCCACACAGGGAATCAGCATTTAATGTAATCAGAAAATCTCTCTCTCTGGTTGTTGTGTCTATACAGAAGATATCATGTCTCACATGCACAAATGTTACCACTAAAACTCTGAACTAAATCATTCTTAAAGTAAAGGACCCTTTTACATGCCTTCAGGTGTATTGGGTATATAGTCTTCTTCTTCTTCTTTGTGTTCGCTAGCTGTAAACTCTGGTGGAAATTTCTGGTTGTTCATCCACTTCTGGAATGCAGCTCTGTTCCAGAACCTGAGTGTTGCATGTACTCATTTGTATTCAGACTGCTGGTTCCTTACCTCACAGGCAGATGCACTCCGTCCATGAAGGAGCTACCAATTAGTCTCTTAGTACATGCTTTTGGGTAGGCGGTGAGTCTATTCTTGTTTTCCCTATACCTGGGCCCCAGAACCCACACAGGGAGGACATATGGTGCTAGACCTAAACATAGGTTCTGCACCACTTGGTGGTGAACTGATGTATGACAAGCTAGATGTTGCTTTAGGAGCGAGTGAACAGTACGGAGGCACAAATAGATCTTTACGTTCTGAGAACAATGGCGCTGCGGGGAGTTACCAGGGGATCTGGCCGATGCTCGACACTCAAGGGTAAGGCATGACAGATGTACAATCAGACAGTTACTGGTATCATTAGAACTGGAACTCTTCTCTTGCTCTGAAGATGGCGATGGAGTGCATATGGGAGTATCCTGAGCGCTAATACGATTTTTAATTAAACTTTATCAGACCTATATTTTATACACCAATCAACAGTCAGTGGGTGATGCGATCAACATCATGCTGACCAACTTTACTTCCCAGGACTTTACCTGGTACCCAGTTATGGCTAGTACACTACGGTGTCTTCCATAACACACTTAACCTAAAAGTATTATTATTACAAATGACTTACCTCACTACGCTGATGACATTTCCATTTATATCTCAGATATTCAATTTCTGTAATTTGGTGGCATTTGCCTTGTTTATTATAGAAGAAACTGGACAGCTCTTCTGTGGCGATTGCTTTCACTTTCAAAAGATCATAACTTTTGTAGGCATCAACCAAAGTACCCCCTTTTGCCAGATTGGCAAATTTATAGATAGGATTATTCTGCCTTTGATAGCCTTGCCGTTTCCATGCATCATCCTCTTTTATGGAAAACAGTACATTTCCCATAATGTACTTTAAGGAATTGAACAAATACTTCATCAGAATGCAACGGAGGGTATGCCACACGCACAAATTTTGTAGTCAATGAGAATAGTTTTATATCATTCTTTCTATGGCACAGTGTGTTGATCTTTGATTATCTAGACACTAGTTATTCCTGGAAGCCTGATATGGAAAAAAAAATTAATAATGAGCTAGCAGTAATGTTTCATTTTTCAGAAAAATGATTTGCCATTTAACTGCTGTTTCTTCTTCTTCTTCTTTCTTCTTCTGTTCCTTCTTCTTCTTCTTTTTCCTCCTCCTCCTCCACCTCTATGTGTATTTCTTCTTCTTTTTCTTCATGGTATGCTGCTTCTGCTTCTTTCTACCTCTTCTTCTTTTTCTTTTTCTCACATTTCTTATTATTCTGTTTCTTTTACTGTTGTCACTAAGTTAGTCACTAACTCTAGACACAAAATTAGACAGTTTTGAAAATAAATGCCTTAGAAGAATACTAAATTTCAAATGGTCAGATTTCCGAACCAATACACAAATAAGGCAAGAATCCAGGCAAGAGTATGTGTCTAATTTTATACGAAAACGCCGCTGGAACTATGTCGGCCACGCCCTTAGAATGGATAAATCAAGACTTCCTTACCAAGCCCTCATTTAGACACCACAGGGGAAAAGATCTCGTGGAAGACCAAAGGAAACCCTACGTAGAACTATCATCAGGGAAGGCTCACTCATGGGCCACTCAAACATCCAAGACCTACAACAGATTGCAACGAACCGCCATGCATGGAGAGTCATGACCTCTGCCCTATGTGCCGCACTTGACACAAGAGGAAAGACTAACTAACTAACTAACTAAGCTAGTTAGTTAGTTAATTCAAGAATTGACATCACAGCACTCTGGGCATTCCCAAGCGTGCTCCGTCTTCATTTTCCACAACCAGCGCAGAGTTCCATTACTGATGGTACTGGTCACAGGTCCGTTTTGCCTTTCCTCTGAGTGTAGCGAGTCGGCCAATTCTCTGGTTACACTCAGGTGCCTCATTCTCTCCAGGCCATAATAATCTTGTTTCTCTACTGATTCTGTTACTTGTTCCCAAAGGGCCTTGACAACATTGCCCTGTCATGCATCAGTTCACCACCCAGCAAATCTGTCTGCCTGTTCATTACCCACCACGCTGGCATGACCAGGAGAAAAGATCCAAAGTATACTCACTACCCGTGATCTTTCCAGTGAACCTTGCCACTCTGCTGGAAGCATCCCTGTTTTCACATTTATTATACTTTCAGAGTCTGTTACAATTACGACATGTGTATGCTTTTTGTTCTCAAGCCGCAGGAGAGCTGCAGTTACCGCCTCCACCTCCATTCTTATGCTAGACGTTGTGGTGTCGTATGCTAGGCTGTCTTGCACTAAAGATTTTCCATTGGCTTTCGCTACGAACCCCCAGGCACTTCTCTTTCCTCTGACCACCGAACCATCTGTATAGATTATCAGATCACCTGGGCATGAATTGTCGTGAATCAACTGTTGGACTTTATGCACCCTAGCACCTGCTGTCCACTCTCTGCACTCCCGACCCAATGTTGTCACTAAGTGGGCTCTCCTTCGAACTTCTACCCCCGCAGTACTGCGGCCTGAAATATCCATTCGGCGTGCAGTCCAATTAAAAATACGGACTTGTCGGAGTTCCCGCCGAGGAACAAATTGCGGCAAAACTAGGAGTACCTTACAATGTCACGAGATGCAACATTGCAGACGATAGTAGAAGACGATAAAAGCGACCAGTGACAATGTCGAGTGTTTTCTGCAGACGATACTAGCAGACGATAAAAGGGATCATTGACAATGTCGAGACATTACAGATGATGAAAGCGATATGTCGGGTAGACCACGCGCTCCCACGAAGATTAGCAGTGTTGCATGCGTCTCTTAGAATTGTCAGGTAATCAGAAACAATAA